TTGTGTGAAAACTTTAAAAATGTTATTAGTACGTATATTTACAACAATGTGTGAAAACCTTAAAAATGCTATTTGTACGAACATATGGCTAAGAAGCAATAAAACGTCTTAAAGCCACCGCCTAGTATCTGTTCCCATTTTGGGCTAATTTAGTCCGATGACTACCTCCAAAAGCTCGACTTAAATTGGCCCGCTAATGGCGTCAGGTTTATTTTTCGGTAGCGCCCCCGCAGTTCGACCCCCACCGAACCTTTCCAAAATCGTTGTTGACCATTGTGGCGCTTGACCATTATTGCGTTATGATAATTTCGCCAGCCAGTTTTGTAGCTATCTATAAAGTCGTTTTGCCGCCGCTCAGCTGACGCAGCCGACTGGCTTTTTGGCAATATTTCTGTGTGCAAACGGCAAACAAAACAGAACATCAGTATTGAATTGTGATTCAGAGTATCTGAAATGGCAACACAAACGGAATTTTTGACAATGCAATTAGCGTGAATTTGTTATTTGCAAATGACTTCAGATTTCTGAGGTCCAGTTTGCATACGTTTCGCTTATATAATAATTTTGTTACTCTGCGGTTCAAGTTCTCAAATAAATCATAAAGCAAATGCTAGAACAAATATTGATAAAGATTTTCGAGTTTGCTGTGCAGAAATTTCATTCTTATCGTACTTTGATTTGTGTCGGCTTATGTTATACGATAAGTTAACATCATGCCAAAAAAAGCAAATTGTTGATTACCGAACAGTGAAACGAAAGTGATGATTAACTCATTAATCGTATATAAATTTGGGATTGTAGTAAAAGCAGTTATAAAATTCCAGTAATGGATATGTTGTGAACAATAAAAAAAAATGGTAACAAAAAATATATTTGGGTATAATAATTCAGAAAAGCGTCAAAAAGTATGCAATGATTTATATCCAAAATCCTCACGATTTTTCGGTGGCTTTTTCCGTTTAGAGTTTATTTTCATTATTAAGTTGCGAATAGTTTTGGCTTAGTTGTTATTTCCAATTCAAAATTTTTTGTTTACATGACTTTGAATTTCCAAATATTTGTATATAATAGTTGAACTGGGCTAAAAGTATTCAGGCAATGCGGGACAATCAAGATGTGTAAACAAATGTTAAATTGAACGAATTGCCGGAAAGCTAACATAAACAAGACACTCCTGAGCAACTAAACAATTAACATTTAAGCAGTGGTTAAGATTTGCATTCGCTCGAAAGTGGCAAAAAAATACGAAACCCGTTTAACCTTAACTTTCCAACCCAATCAAGTTTATATTTTGCTTATGATTTCACGGCAGCCCCACAAAATAGCACTCCTAATTGCCCCCCTTCAAAATCCCCCCACTTCCCCCCTTCCAAATCCCCCCACTTCCCCATCGTTTAGTATGTGTTTATTCCAGAAATCGAAAGCTGCTTCCAGCTGTCAACAGATTGGCGCAGTGCCAAAACATTTCTATGGAGCGCTACCAAGTGCTCAGAAAACTAAAGGCTGTCTCGTAAAGCGATTTGCAATCGATTCCAGTGCGTGAAAGAGACGGGTTGAGGAACCGAGCGAGATTGCCGATAGCAATCAGCAAAAAAGCAACAACAACCGAAAAAAAGTTGAAGGCTTCGGCAGAAACTTATCTGCGGCATTAGCTTCTATACCTTTTCGTCGCGATTCCAGGTGAACGGGGAGCTTTTCGGAGCTTCGGCTTCAGTTTGGCACTAGAACTTCGACTTTGACGTTGTGTCGATCGAGCGACAGCTACTTAGCTATATAGATACATATATATAGATAGCTATCGGAAGCTACACTGCACTACACAAGCGGTTCCGGAATTGTAGTGATTTTCCCACCCAGTTTGTGGTTTTCGAGTCGCCGATTGATTTCGCCCCTTAAAAATAGCCCTCTGTTTTGGTTGTGTTTGTGTATGTGTTTAGTTTTTGTTTAGTTTTTCTTTTGCTTACTCTGTCCCTCTGTGTGTGTTAACTTCGGCTGAGGAAAAGCGGCTAAGAAAACGCGCTAAAACTGACGCAATAGGGCAAAGTTGGTGTGTTTGTTTTCCGACTACTGCTATTGGCGAAAACGTTGGCAATTACGCGGCAACTTTGGCACTTGGATGCGAGCCACTGAGATCATAATTCGATTTTAGAATGCGCCGCAGAGATAACCGAATGGTGCCCACTGTGCGGCGGAGACAGTGGGTCGGCGGCGGTCTCTTTGCGGCACTTGCAGCTCAGTTGTCTCACGTTCGCGGCCTTTGATGCAACGCCTTTCCGCCGATGCCGACCATTTGCAATTAATTGCGAATTAAATTGTAAGAACGTGACGTCAGAGCGGGTTCGATGTTCGGTGTTCTTCTGGGGCGATTCATAAATTAATTCACTAAGCAAGGCAGACTGTTTGTGTTAATACTCAATGTGTGTGTGTGTGCTGTGTAAAAGGCAAACAAACAATAAGTAGGGAGAGAGAGAAAAACAGACATGTGCTCAACGCTTTTATGGGAGAACCAAACGCTCGGCGCTGCACAAATAAATAAGCAAAGCGTAAACATGACAGCACCGAGACTCTCAAAAATCTATGCTAATTAGCAGCAATAACAACAAAAGGCGAAGAGTGTATCTGTATCTTGAACCCATAGCCATTGCCATACGAAAAGGAAATATATCTCCCAAACAACATAAGTGCAAAGCCAACAGCAATCGGCAGGCAGCCAAACACTCGGAATACCCTGAAAAAAAAAAAAAAAAAAAAAAAACACAAATGACAAATAGTGAATGTTGAGTGAGTGGAGAGTGTGCTTAAAGTCAAACACTGGGAAAATGATAGTGACCTCAGAAAAAACAGTGAAAGGAAAACGTGGAGAGGAAAACCAATAAATTCAGAGATAATTAGCTGAAAATGTGTAATTATTTCGATTAAGAAATGATAAACGATTCAACTAGTATCTTGACAAATTTTTGAAAGTTAGTTTTTCAAATGACTGAAATTTATGGGCTAGTAATATGCCTTGTCAAGATTTAATTATGTCAAATTTAATGACAGCAAAGATTTAATTATGATTTCTATTGAAATGTTACTCATCACCAAAGTAATTTTAATTTTAAAGTAGAAGCAATAACTACAAACAAATATACATAATGATACTTTGTTCTGAGATAGAAACAATCTTTAGAACTTTTCATTCATGCCAAAGAATTTTCCAATCTTAGATGTTCTGTCATGCGAACTTGTGGAATAAATTCTTAATGAAAGGCTTCTTTTGATGACCCCTTTTATGCTCGCTAGATATCAAAATTCCATCTTTATTGAATTTCCCAGAAGCACATATCACCTCACTGCATTGACTTCATCAACCTCGAATTCGTTGAAAGAAAACATTTAGCAGGCCACCCAGTTTCTTTATCAGAAATGCAAAATTTATCAGCGATCGCCCAGAAAAGATAACTAAATGTGCGCTGTTCTACAGCAAATAAAGCGCGGCGAAGAAATCAATTTCGCATTTGTTGATATTACGGGGAAGAAATACAAAAAATAGAAGCTCCGAACATTAGATAGCGGCTACTTGGTTAAACATACGTCAGAGATTCGAGTCACTTAACGAGGCCCAAACGAAATGCGAACGGAAACCGAAACCGAAACTGAAATCGAAATCAATTGAGAATAAACATTAAGTTTGGGTTTCTGGCGAGGGGAAATGATCGTTTTAGTGGATCCTAATTGGGATCCCGGTGCTCGTGAGTCTGGCACACTGTGCAGAAACCGGGAATTGCATAATGCCCCGGGAGAAAAGCCCCCACATCACGTGTCTAGATCGTCTGGCACCTGACAGACCCACTAAAAATCACTTCAGCTCAGATTCACTCTGCTCCGGAGGAAGTTGATGGAGATGCGATGGCCAGACAAAGCCAGAGAAATTGAAAGCCATTAAGTACCTTTAAAAATAAATGCGGAATACTACTAACCGCATGGCCCACTGGGATGATACATCCGATGGCTATATATACACCAGTACGCGCGTGGATATATGCTTTTTCAATTATTCAAGAGTACACCGCAGCGCAGAGGCTTGTGACCACAGAAATCAAAGAAATTACGCACGAAAAATATCTTGAAAATGCCATAAGTTGTATATAGATACACAGGCAGCGCAGACTCATCAGATACAGAGATACACAGATATAGACAAACTCGAACTGTGGCAAACTATTTCCGTATTGAGTTCTCTTCTTCAATGCCCTGCATTAAATCTTTTTGGGCATATTGCAAGGCGGCTTCTTCAAAACTCAACCACTTAAATTTGAATAAGCAAAATTAAGCACTTTAGATAATCGTTTCTTTCTTTGTTTTTTTAATGACCTCTAAATAATTTATTCACCCTTAATGTCTTACATCTTTCACTCACGAGCATTTATCAGCAGAAATTTAAGACAAAAATGTGTTTGTGACATTTTTAAAAAACGTATTTTCGAACGCATATATTTCTTGGCTTGAATTCCACAAACAAATTATGAACGTGTTCCAAAAAAATCTTCTAATATTTATGGACGCGGCAAAATAAATATATATATTTTCGAAACGTACGATTCGGTTCTCCTCATTTGACTTTACGAGTTTGTTTGGCTTGTGGAAATTGCATTGACCTAGAAGTTATACGAGCATTGTTGTTTTTTCGGTCTCTTGGATATTCCGATGTCTTTGGAATACCCTGCATTATGTTTTGGTTTTGCACAGTTCTCCCAAACACTCCCCAATCGTTCGCTCTCTCTTTCTTTTTATAATTTCTGTGTGTACATTTACTGAAAATGAGCATCGTTATGAATTCCCCGATTTGTTTTCTGTGTGTATATTGTATTTTCAAACACTCTGTGCCTCTGTGCAACCGAACTGGGAACTCAGAACTGGGTTGTGTGTAAATTTTGTGTGTGTGGGAGAACTGGGAGATGGGAAATGGTAAATGGGAAATGGGAGACTGGGGTATCTGGCTCCCGGCTGAGATCGTGGAAGGCCCACGGGCCATTCCTTGTCCGTCGGTCGCCAGCGCCACGAGGAGCGGGCAACGCGATCAGAGAAAAATATTTCAAAAATTAAATCACCCCCTATTCCCAACCAAAATCCGAAACGAAAACCTCCCCACCGCCAAACAAAAAAAAAAAACGAGAGCGAAAGTTCAGAAAGCAAAAACGCAATTTAATTTGGCCAAAACAATTCGAGACAATCAAAGACAAAGGCGCGATCTCGTCAGCAAAAAGATCAACCTGAAAACATAACGATTTCGGACGCGTGCCAGCCGACGGTCGGTGGGCGGTGTGCGGTGGGCGGGGCGGCAGAGACGCCAGCAGCGACGTCGGCGTTGGCGCTGCCGTTTTTATATGATTTTCCGCTCGTAGTGCTCGCTTTTTTATTTTTATTTTTTTTTATTTCTCTGAATTTTTTTGCCGGCTGTCGTCGTGAGCAGAATGCCGCCGGTTGTCGGTTCTCCGAGTCGTTCAGTTCTGTTTGAGTTTCTGGCGACGAGTGACACACACAGAGGGAACTAGAAATAAACGACATCGAACAAGCAAACGAAACAACACTTAGTTGTACTGTAGATTCTGGCTGATTAAGAAAAACACGAAATACTCAGAAACACTCACACACACACACACACTCACTTTCAACTGCATTAGTTCAGATCGAGCGAAAGTGCTTTAGACGATGCCAAATAACCGCAATCGCAATCGCAATCGAAATCGCAACAAACGCAATCGAAACCAAAACCAAAATCAAAACCAAAACCAAAACCAGAATCCCAACCAAAACGAAAGCAATCAACAGGCAGAGGGGGCGGAGGAGCGGGAGGAGCTGGAAAACTTGGAAAAGCAGGACTCTCAGATCGCAGTTGAAACTTCTTCTTCCTCCATAGATGATAATGGAAATTCTGGCAGCGTTTCAAATGGGCCAACGGAAAACAGCGAAAATGCTTCGGTTGTTGTTTGCGACCAAAGTGTGACGAACACTCTTCAGAAAACCGAGGAAAAACAAGAAGAAGAAGAAGAAGTAGAATCATCCGAGAAACCAGCAACAGTCATCCAAAAAGAAGAAGAAGCAGAAGATTTCGAGGCAGAAATGGGTGCCAAAAACTCAAAACATCGCAGGGAAAAGTCCGATAAGCAGGCGACTAATGGAAAAGCCGAGGAGCAGGTGCGTCCGCCACCCACAATTATCAGAAGGCCACCCGGCAGTCCGCGGCAAGCCAAGGTCATAGTTCATCGGATTGTGCGGGAAGAGGATAAGCCAAGTGGCAAGGCTGATGATCAGCAGCAATCCAAGGTTGTGGCAGTCAAAGAGGAGCCATTGGAGGTTACAGATGATTCAAAGAAGCAGCAACATGAAGATCATGAACCAATTCAAGAGCAACTTGTAGAAACTAGTCAACAATTAGATGACGCACAGCAGCAACATGTTGCAGTTGCACAAAGCGAAGAAGCTCAGGAGCGCAAAGAAGATCATCAGGATACACAAAAGCCAGATGAAGTGGATTATTCCAAGGAGCAGGAAGTTGAAGTGGAACCTTCAAAGGAGCATGTAGTTAAGGTGGAGCTTTTGAAGGAGCAACAAGTTAAAGCAGAGCCTCTAAAAGAGCAACAAGTTAAAGTAGAACCTTTAGAAGAGCAACAAGTAAAAGAGGAATCCTTAAAGGAGCAACCACCACAAGAGCAACCTAAGCCAAAAGAACCCGAGCAATATGTATTGCAGCTTCAAAAGGCTATGGAATTTGTGGAAAATGCACACCAGCAACATATTGCAGCTGTACAAAATCATCAACAACAAGAAGACGCACAACAGCAACTGAATAAGGAAACACAACAGCAACGTGAGACACTAAAAACACAACAGCAACGTGTTGCAGTTACACAAAGTCAAAAAATTATAGAGAGTGAAAAGGAAGCACAACAGCAGCAACATGAAGAGGAGAAGCAGAAACGAAAATCCTTTTTGGATAAAGAACAACAGCAACATGTGGATATTGCTCTAAAGACTCTGGAGGAAATCCAGAAAGAAGTGAATCTTCAGCAGGTTAAGCCTCCTCCCCAGAAGTTGCCTCCAAAGCAACCCTCCTCCAAGGTGATTATCCACCACATACACCTGGAAACCAACGAGGAAGAGGTTGCCCGGAAGGGTAAACCCACCTTCGAGGAGATCAGCAGTTCATCCGGTAGTTCCCTGGCTGGAACTCTTTCTCCTCCACCCCGCTATCTGGTGGAATCACCCAAACCCACCAGTGGTGGTCAGTTTTCCCGCTTCTCCCGCGATGTGCAAATCCAGGAGCTGGAACTCAACAGCGACTGCAGCTCCGGGGAGTTCAACTCGTTCAACGCGCTGCAATCGCCTCTGGTTTGCGAGGCGGACTCGGAGTCGGAGGGATCGGTGGTGGCTCTAGGAGCGGAGCGATCGCCGTCGGACCAGCTGGTGGTGCCGTCCAGCAGCCGAGCCATGGAGCAGCAGCAGCAGCAGCACCAGGAGCAGCTGCGCCAGAAGCGCGCCCAGAAACGGAACGCCTTGGAGTCGCACTTCCTGCCGCAGCTGCTCAATCCCCGCTATCTGGACAGCATCCTGGAGGAGAACGGCGAGGCGACCAGCTTCCGCAACTCCACTGCCTCCGCTTCCTCCGCCTCCTCTAATGGAAATGCAGATCAGGCGGGGGTGCGCACACCCAAGTTGAACGAGACTTTCCCGAGGAGCCAACTGGATTTCAGTAGGAGACACAAGAGAAGAGAGGAGGCACCCACTCCTCTTAAGCTGGAAACCAAGTTGCTGGAGGAGTCCGATGATCTGGAGAGCTGCACCCGTTTGCAAAGTGCTTTATCCCCTCAATCCGAGGATGCTGAGTTAGTTTACCTGAGTTCCTCCGCCTCGAGTAGTGTCTCCGATTTAATGGAACTGGAACTGGAGCAGGCAGCCGCCTTGGCAGAGCGCGCCTTGGTGGATCTGGACACGGATGCCAGCAGGTTGATCCTCCGGCCGGATGACGAGATGAGCAGTACTAGTACGACGACAGCGGAACGCAGTGAAACCGAAGCGGAAACGGAAACGGAAACGGAGAGGGGAGAGGGGGAGGAGGAGGGGGAGAGTCGGGAGAGCACACCTGTTAACCAAACGCTCGCCAGTTCGCCAGTTTCAACGCTGCTGAGCGCCAAAACGCCGACGCCCACGCCCACGAACGCCGATCGCGAGCAATTAGCAAGAGATCCACGAGATACAAACGATCTGCGATCTGCTGCAAAAGATACAAATGTATCTGGCGGATCGCAGGCGGTCAGTTTCGGAACAGCTTCGCCGCTGGCGGCCACGCGCGAGGAGTTCGTTCGCAACATGGACAAAGTGCGCGAGTTGATCGAGATGACGCGTCGCGAGGAGGAGCAATTGGATGAGCCTCAATCGATTGGAAGTACGCTGCCGCGTTCGCCGTCGCCGCCGCCCGTTCCCCCGCCCCCCGTCGAGTGCCCCGCCTACCACCAATCCCTGCTCACCCCGCTCCACCTGAAGCGGCAGGAGTCGAACGACTCCCACTGCTCCGACAGCACCACCCACAGCCAGTGCACGGCCATCAACTTGGCCAGTCCCCCGCTTCCCGGTAGCAGCCAGCCACCCACTCCGCCACTCAGACAAAAGCCCGCACCACCAGCTGCACCACCAGTTACCCCTGCCACCCCGCCAACCACACCTGCCACTCCACCTGCACCCACTAGAAGCACCACCACCACCTCCACCACCACTTTCCATTCAGAGCCAGAGCTTTCAGTTGCAGATCGGGAATCGGAATCGGAGTCGGAGGCCATCAAGAAGCTGCGTCTCCTCTGCACCGAGCAGCTGGCCTCCATGCCCTATGGCGAACAGGTGCTCGAGGAGCTAGCCAGCGTGGCCCAGAACATCACCGACAAGTCCACCCACAAGATGCCCTATCCCATGCCGCAACTGCCGCACATCAAGGAGTTGGAACTGAATGCCAGCGAGGGGAAATCCACCTCCGCCTGGCTGGGTTTGCCTACCCAATCGGATCCTCAGCTACTCGTGTGCCTTTCGCCCGGCCAAAGGGAACTGGTGGATGTGAAGACCCAACCAGATGACTTACTCGATGCCCACCAGAAGTTCGTGGAGCGAAGGGGCTACCATGAGCTCTCCAAAGCAGAGGTTCTCGAACAGGACAAAAAACAGGAGCAGCAACAAAGTGAGATGCTCAAGACGGCGGCCATGATGCGCGAATTGCGCAAGAGCCTCTCGCCGCCGGCCCCGCCCCTCCCGCCGCCCCCCGTGCCGGTGAAGAGCGCCGAAACGGCGGCCAAGGCGACCGCTCATGAAAACGCCAAGAGAGATGACGCAAGCGAACAAAAGCAGCCAAAAGCGAGTGAATCGTCATCGCTTGAAAATAAACCAAGGCGAGCAGCTGATTGCGCCGAGGAGCAGTCGGCAGAGCACCGCCAGAGCAGCAGCACCACCACCAAGAGCACCACCAGCAGCAGCAGCACCACCACCAACGAAGCCATGACCTCCTCCGCCGTTAAGTTTCCCACGCTGGACAGCATGGAGAGCGAGCTGGCCAGGATGTTCCCCCAGCACAAGGGCGACATCTTCGAGGAGCAGCGCAAGCGGTTCTCCAACATCGAATTCCCAACCAGCCAGCAGAAGCCTTCGAGTCAAACCAAGAGGTACTCCAACATAGAGACGAGCAGCTACGAGTCCAAGAAGCGAATGGAGAACGGCCAGGTGGTCTACGATGTGAGCACCTCCAGTCGCGAGAAGCAGGAGCAGGGCGATCCACCCAGAAAGGAGGAGGAGCAGCGTGCTCCGCCCGTTCCCCCGCCGCCAATTATGTCAGCAACGAAATTAAACGGCGGCACTTTCATTGATGGAGACGTGGCGCCCAAAAATAGCCAGCCAGCAGCGAAAGAGAGCGGTATTAACAGCAGCAGCGGTGGCAACGGTACGTATGAGGAATTTCGGCAGCGTGCCAAGGCCGCGGCGGATGCCTTTGGAGATCAGCGGGAGCGGGAGCGGAATGGCAACGGACTGGATCACGATCGCGTGTTCAAGGACTTCGATCGATTGTCCCAGCAAATGCACGCCGAGTTGCAAACGACGCGTGAGAAGCGGGAAAAGTCCGCCTCCCTCTACGATCTCAGTGGTTTCACCCGATCCTCGGTGGGTAATCCCAAAACAGATGAACTGCAGCAGCGGCGACACGCGCACATGCAGGAGTTGGAGCGGGAAATAGAGAGGTCAGCGAGATCGAGGCAGGAGAGGATGTCCTCGGTTCCGCGACAAATGGAAGCCACTCCACCTCTGACCCACGAGATTCCCATCGAAATAGAACCCCGATCCCGGCGAGCTGAATCCATGTGCAACCTCAACGAACCACCACCGCGTCCGCACACCACGGTGGGTCACTACAACCACTCGGCGGTGCAGGACGACTGGTCGCGTTATGCCAACGATCTGGGCTACTCGGAGAACATAGCTCGACCTTTTGCGAGGGAAGTGGAGATCTGCTACCAAAGGCAGAACCAAAGGACTCCCCACGCCATCCGTGCTCCTCGGCTCTCGGCCAGCACCAATGACCTCAGCAGCTCCAGCCAATATAGCTTCGATAGCTTTAATGCTTACGGAGGCAGGAGAACCCATGCTCCCATGTTGAATCAGGCGCAGCAGCAGCAGCGTCCTCACTACGGAAGCTGCTACTCGATGATCGAGCGGGATCCCAATCCCCGCTACATCAGCACCACTTCGAGGAGGGGAGTGAGCCCCGCACCACCCACTCCACCCACTGTAGTGGTGTCACCGCAGCAGCAGGCGCCACCACCCGCCTACGATCGCCAGCAGAGGAGATCCTCGCTGCCAAGGGAGCTCCACGAACAGCAGCTGAAGTACATCCTCTCCAAGGAGGAGGAGCTCAAGTTCGAGGTGGAGCGACTGCAGCAGGAGCGTCGCCGCTTGATGGAGGAGATGCAGCGTGCTCCAGTGCTTCCAGCTCCCCAGAGGAGGGAGAGCTACCGACCCGCTGCCAAGTTGCCAACTCTCAGCGAGGATGAGGTCTTCCGGCAGCAAATGGCCGAAGAGTGGATGAACAAGGTGGCCGAACGGGAGGAGCGCCGCCAGCACAAGATCATACGCATCTCCAAGATCGAGGACGAGCAGGATCACCACCCGGTGGACAGGGCGACCATCAGCGATGAGTTCCTGGATCGCGTGAAGGAAAGGCGCCACAAGTTGGCCATGCCAGCGGATAGCGATTGGGAAAGTGGAGCGGAATCCCAACCCCAACCCACTGTGCAATCCCAGCCAGAATCGGATGTGGAGGCGGGACCGGTGCGCATACTGGAGGGCCAGGCGGAGGCCAATCTCCGCCAGCTGCCGCGTCACCTGCGCGAGTTCGCCAAGTTCTCCACCAGCGAAAATCTCCCGGATGGCGGACAAATGGAGCGGCACGAGGAGCAGGAGCGGCGGGAAGAGGCGACGGACAACTCGCACAGCAGTGCCAGCAAGAAGACGAGCATCGTGAAGACGTACAAGGTGTCCCGGCTGCCGCCTTCCGTCCAGGGTGAGTTTCCCGGCCAGTTTTCCGGGGGAAAGCGCAACCGATTCTACCGCGAACGCTCGCAAACCGCGCGGCTCGTGAGTCATAACATCCCCCTGGAACTAACCACCAGTAACCATAGCTCATCCCCTGAATCCCCAGACTCCCTAGTTTCCCCTCCCGGTTGTGGTTCCTCCTCCAGTCCCCCCTCCTCTCCTCCATCCCTCGCATCCCCAGCACAATCCAATGTACAATCCAATGCACAAGCACCCATTCAACCATCGAATCCTTCATCCAGTTCAGCAGGAGGCATTCTGGGCACCGCTTTGCTGGTGGGTTTATCCCTGCTGACCGCCTGGAACAAGTTCAGTTAGATCATGAATCCACTCCCAAATATATCCCTCACCATAAAAAATTCAATCAATAATTCCTATCTGGTTATATCAGTTAAAAATCATTGGTTTCTGGTCATTTCACCTGCATAAAGTAGCTCGTTGGTGTTGTCCTATCTCTCTCTCTGTCTCTCTCTTGTATATTTCTATCTCTCTCTTTGCTGACTGTTCATTGTGCGCGATATCCTCCTACTTCCTTCACACAGACGAGGCCACAGAACCCGAGTTGAGGAGCTCCACAATCCACCAGATAAACCGCTCCAGTTATCCGCAGCCCGGGAAAATCGGTGCTAATTTGAACGAGTTTTTCGCCGGCTCGCCGTTCCGTTCGAAAATCTTCGAAGAGTTCGACAAGTACTGGCGAAACTTCGAGCACTCCACCTCGAACACTTTCTAGAGTCCCTTCCGAGCCACAAACCAATTGCTTTGACCCACCAAATCCCAAAATGACCCACCCAAAACCCCAATTTCCCTGCAGCTGCATGCAGCATCCCAACCACTCAGCTCATGTTGAATAATAAAATATAGTTACGGATTGTCCAAATTGCGTTTGTGAAACTTTGTTAAATGTTCGAAACATTGAAATTAATATTAATACCTATAGCAAATAAAACGAAACCGAAAATTATATTTAGTGTTGTTTAATGTTTAATAAACGAAATTATTTGATTAACCAAAACTTTATTTGTTTACTTTATTTGAGTATTTTCGTTGCATTCATTCGATATTTGTATATATTCCGCATGCGATTCCTTCTACTTGTGTGATGTGTCCAAAAAAAAATAAAAAGAGAGAGAAGCAAAACTAATCCATATTTGTGTGTAGTGTACAGATATTTGCAGACGGTGCGGTTGGGAAATATCAGAAAGGCGTAAACAAATTGCTCAGGAAATATAAGCAAGATCCACAAACGTTTTTGACTCATCATCTTGGGAAATGTTTCGAAATTGTATACCTTATGGGTGCTTTTTACCAGGAATACCTTGCTTACTGAAAAGATTTCCTCCAATAAAACTAAATTCCAAATTTAATTATGCTGCTTATATTTATTTATTCATTTAATTAATTTATTTTACTAAATCAAACTGCCTGATATTTACCCAACTTACCGTATCTAATTGTTTAAGCTTAAGACTTAGTTAAGTTAATAAATCATTGGCTTTGTAATCCGCTGGCTTTCGCTTAAGACTCTCAAATGCTCAAATGTCCGAGGGCTGAAATCGGCTTAACCCTTCCGCGGCATCGCAAAACCACCCATTTCCATTCCCTTAAGACGACTTATTTCCCCCCAAGTTTCGCAATCAAGCTCAAGAAAGAAAACGACGTAGGGAAAGACAAGCGAAATTGCGATTAAGCGGAAATTTTAAATTAATTCCATTCAATTGCATGGACACAAAGTGCAGTCCGACAGACGAGCCGTTTGTTTAAAACAGAATTACGGAATCGGGGGCAATTGAGCTAGAGCGTCTACACAGAGAAAAATATACTCGAAATTTTAATAAATTAGTTGACTTTTTAAATTAAAAAGTATATTAAATACTCGTAATAAGAGCAATATATCACAATCTCGAAATGAATATGAACATAACAAATTGCTGTTTAATAAATAATGAAAGAGCTCAATCAGCTTTATTGGGTGTCTACATCTTGAATTATATTTTGATACCAAGATATTCTTAACTTCACAAAGTGAAGAAAAATGTGGGTGTACATTTTAATGATCCTTAAGTTGAAATAGTTTTGTGGTTAGTGACAAGGTTTTTAAATTTCTCTACTCAAATTTTATGTACAGACTTTAATTAAATTGCATTTAAAATCTAAGAGAGCTCTGATGATTATTTCAATTTGACTGACAATAAGTGACTAACAGCAATGGTAGATACTCAAAACCTCTAAGAAAATTGGTTGCAAAATTCTTGCCATGATTTTTTCTCTGTGTACCAGCGAATATGCATGCTGAAATTGGAACGGGGAAAAAGGGAAGCGGGGGACGCACGGACTCCGCTAGAAGGCAGCGATCTAACCGAATGCTATCGTTCAGACAGAGCCACCGCCTCCGAGGAGAAGCAAGCAGTGGGAGGAGCAGCGGGAGCGGTAGTGGGAGCGGGAATGGGCGTCCGGCTGCGACCACGCCCACCCAAGCAGACGCGCTTCCTCCTCAACGCGCAGCAGCTGCAGCAGCAAATGCAGCGACGCAGCTGGTCGGAAAGCGATCTCCTCAAGGAGATCGACAGCGAACTGCAGCTGGCAAAGGGCTTCCTCTACGCCAATGGTGTGTCAGAAAGAACCCCTTGAAAAACCCCTCCCCCTCCCCACTCCTGGCATCCCCGCCCATGCTCTTTAATTGTCTAACCCCACTCGAAATATGTGTAATTATGTTAAGTTTATTTATAGCCAAAATCCACTTTACACAAAAAGATTTTCACTTGCCTGCCTAAAAGTAGGCAACAAAATTTCACCTGTTTTGTTTCAGCAGATTGCGTATACGACATGAAGGCTCCTGCTCGGTCACTTGCCACACATCTCGCTATATATCTATCTTTATCTGCAGTGCGTCCATAATTTATGACCCACTTGAGTCAAAGATCTCTCGTTTTCACTCCCCGAATATCGCTCTTTTATTTTTTTTTTTTTGGTTCTGGCCTCTTCTCCTGTCTCTGTTTACGAAAGCATAAAAAAAACTTGTTGTTTATGCTGGGCGAAACGGAAAAAAATTCGAAATTTTTCATCTGAGAACGAGAACGTTCAACAAATTTGTTGTCTTGCACTCGCACACAAATTGAGATTTTTTCCGTCTGGGATTTTTTCGGTGGGCCTCTACGAAAAACCCGAAAAGTCCAAGCAACCTGCCCGAAAATTCAACCGTTTCGTAGTCGTCGTCGTGTTAAAGTCGTGTGAGCAACGCGAAGGCGCGTCAGAAAATAGAAAATATAGAAAAGTCCGAAGTCGGAAATTTGAAAATCGACCAAAAGAAGTAGCTTCTATATTTCCACGGCAGCAAAAATGGGGCAGGGTTAGTTGAGTGTTTTGTATTCGAATTTGTTTGTGTGCTCCCCCCAAAAAGAACTTGTTGCCACTTCCACGGTGAAAAGTTGGGAAACGGTGCCCAAAATATAAATGCACGAGCTGCAAACGAAGTGAAGTGAAATTGTAGTGAAGAGTATTCCCGATTAAATCGCCGATTTGGCCATTTGCAATTTGATTTTTGCAGAGAGCACACAAGGCACGGGAAACAACGCGATGTTTGCACCCAAATTCAAGGCGCGCGCGCCACCAGGCTCAGGTAAATGCGACGGCATCCGACGGATGCGTTTTGCATCTCATGGATGCACCCACGACCAAGTGTGACAAATGGCCAACATGACGTTTTCAGTGGACCGCCTTTGATGTTCCACAGGCTGACGAGTTGAGTGGATCTTTCGACGCGATTTCCCAGTCAACTTTCCACCTTTCGACTTATTCGTTTCCAAATTTATTGCTCGTATTTATAGATCATTTTTTGTGTTGGCTATTTCGTTTGGTTTCTATTTTTTTTCGTTCGAACTGAACTTGATTTCGACTTTGGCAGTTGAGATTGTTTATTTTAAATATTTCACATTAGTTCATGTTAATTGTGCACACACCAAAAAAAGTTTCCACATGATTTAGGCAAACGTTTTGGAAAATCCAAACTGGAAACGAGGTGCGCCATTGCTAAATATACGAAATGACGTAAAAACCGAGGGAGAAAATGCTGAATATTTATTACAATATTTGCAACGCTCTCAATTGTTGTTCGCTATTCGTGTTAGCCGCCCACGCGGATGCCGCCTTTTACAGTCTCCAATAAAAACGCCAGCTAAATAAGATCAACACGGAGAGCATAGTACTCGTCCGTGTCGCCATCACGGCCCATTTGATGTTGTTTTAGCCTGGCCAAGTCCGCGTTGTGCTCCCCATTCACCAGAATCCATCGCATGAGCCATAAAAACCCCTTTGAGGATTTACGGGGGCGTACGCAAATCCATCAAAACTTTCATTCCTTGATTGGCGTCATCTGATGGCATTATCTATGCTTTGGATATTTCGATCTCCTACACATTTATTTAAAGCATTAATTTGTATGTTGTTATTTTTGAACATTTTCCTTTTCCCCTTTCTCGTTTTTTTTCGGTTCGGGCTCGCTGTTTTTTGCGTATGCCAAAGAATGGAAAATATAAATTTTAAGACTTTTAGTGAGTGAAAATAATTTATAGATCGGTATAAATTCAGCTGAACTTGAACGAAAAGATTCCTTTGCCTAGCTGCCGTTGAGGAAAGCGATTTAATTTTGCTTGATGACGTTGCCATCGGTGGGATTATCAATCCGTTGAAAGGGGTCTTAATAATAGAGATTGGAAAAGAATTTGGCAATCAAGATGAGTCAATAGGTGGATGGGAAGATAGATGGGTATACTAATTATACTTGACTAAGAGGATAATTTTAATTAGCAGAATCTGAATAGATCAATCCTACAATTAGGTAGAGATTGGTGATGTGCATTTTAAATGCTATTTAAAGTACATTTGTTATGAGAATATATAAAGATAAGAACCATTTAAATCTTCTATTGAAAATAAAACAATTTAAAAGAATTTCTTTGATTCCTAAACTTTTATTATATTCTTGTACACAAAATACCTCACCGCGAATGATGATCTTTGTTCTTTTCTAATCTGATGGCCCATTATGCGGCTTCCAACTAGAGCTTTTCCAATCAGTTCCGGCTGAACCGCAAGTATGCACTCCATAAATAACCCCAACTGGAGGAGTTCCCGCCTCTTCCAATGGGCAACACGCAGTGCGCCCCCCGAATTCCACATAAATCAACTCAGGAAATGCTCTTAATTTGCCGCAGGCAGCCGCACCCTTTTCCATTCTCGTTCTCCATTCCCATTTCCAATTGACAGGTCGCACTTTGAGTCGGAACTCCCGATCCCAACTCCCGTTTTCCAATCCGTGACAGGTTGCACGGACCCCCCCCCCCCACTTCCCCCCTCCGAAACTATTTTCCCCATCACCTATTTGTGTGAATTTTACAAGGCCGCGGCGAGCATATGGGCTCCGCTATTGGAAAAACATTTTACAAACTATCCCGAGTTAAAATTAAATGGTTCCCTCATTGTGCACTGTGCAAAAAAGTGTTTTAATTATATATGAACGATGTATTTGTTATGGTTGATTGAATGCTTTATAGATTTAGTTTATGATACCTCGTATTTATATGTGATTATACATATATAATTTATAAATTATTTTATAAATCAGTCATATCATACAGTTGGTTATCGGAAATTCTAATTAAGACCAAAGAGGATTTTATATTTTTTCTCACATTTAAAGTAAAATTGGCTTTCAAGTTTATTAGAATTTGGTTTTATTGCTAGTTTCTGGTCAATTTTTCGCTGTGGAGTCACCTTTTGTTGTTTTCGAAATTTGTTCTTGTTCGCAAATCGATAAATTTGAAATGAATTGCCCCGAACAACGAAAGCCAGCGAAATGCGGCTTCAGCTGTGCCTTTGCTTCTATTTCTGCTTCTGCTCGACTGCGGGCGCTCCTTTGCGGGTGTGTCGCGCTCTCAAGTGCCACTATTAACATTTTCCAAGCGAATTTTCGAATTTTCCGTCTGATTTGTTCTAAAGCAGCCGGAGCAGCGTCAGTGGCCACCGGAAGTCACCAGCCAAGCCAAGCCAAGTCAAGCCAAGCCAATCCAATACGAGCCAAGCCAAACAAGCAATCGAGTTGGCTTTTGTTTTTTGTTTGGCTTTGCTTTCTGTTTTGTTTTGGCTTTTTTGTCTGGCTCTGCCGAAGAGTTGTTTTGATGTTTTTTAGTGTTTTGTCCGCGTCTTTTGTCGCCGCTGCTTCACTGTACTCCGCCGCACACACTTCCGTTCCATTTCGCATTGCACGCATAATTGGCGTTTTCCCCCGCGACGCTTTCCCCGTCGATTTTCCCCTGTCTCCGGTTGATCGAGCACCGAGCAGCCAGAATGGTAATTGATCTGCTATTTGGGGATGGAGAAGGGGGGTGAAACGGGGGAAAAGGAGGTGCTGCCGTCGACCAAAATGGGTGTGTTTGGCTTTTGTTTTGCGCTCCCTGCCCATAGCCATTCCCATTCCGATTCCGAATCTGAATTCGAATCTGAATCCGAACCGAAATCCATCCCCATTCCCGGGCTTTTTAGCTCTGCTCGGCGCTGGCGAGTCACGCAAAATTCAGTTCGCCTCGAGCCGTGCGCGGAGTCAGCAACTCAATCAGCAAATCGCTCTCGAAATCCCGGTGACCCATCCGCATCCGCATAAGACATCCGCATCCGTATCGGTATCCGCAGTCGTTACGGTGACTCTCCTTTAGGTAATTCCCTCGAATTGATCCGATTTATTCGATTTATCCGATTAATCCGAGTGACTCAGAGGATCTCGGTGTGTTGTGTGCGAGTTTGATTGACATTTGCAAGGAGAGATTTCCTTTTGATTCGGATTGTATAATTCAATTAAGTGCTGATTGAATAAAGACGTCAGCGCGCCCACATGCGAAACACCAGCATCAGCATCAGCACCACCACCACCACGGTTTCTACCTCAACCACCACCACCTCAACCACCGCCCCCTAACAGTTTTCCACCCACCGCCCCTGTAAAAGCCAAGGAATCCGCTAACGAATTTCGAGGCGGTACCGAATACGTGTCAATGTCTCGAAGGCAATGCGCCTAGGGCATCTCTATCTGTATCTCACTCACTGTATTTGTATCTGTATCTGAATCGGTTGATGTATCTGTGATCTCGGGGTGTTTGTTTGTGGTTTTTGTTTTTTTACAGGTGGCAAATAAATCTGTAGAATGAAAGATTTTGGCTAGACCAAATGCAAAGCTGCACAGACATCGCGGGGGTTAGTTGACAAGTAGTAGGATTATGCTGCCTCAAGAAAAACACAATTGAAAGCAATTTTTTCTCATTATTTGGAAGAAAAGCACACTTTTATCCACGATTTAAGGTGGTTAACTGCTGATCAGAATGGATGATAAGGATTAAAATGTGTAGCCCATCAAAAAACAAGATAAATTGAATTAGCATTGAAATCTACTACAGTTCAACTACAAAAGATTCTTATCAGGATAATTTGATGAACAAAAATTGATTAAGAAGAACACAAGGTTAATAATAGGTTTGTTTATCCTTTAAATTAATGTCTTAATCAAATGATCTATTATAATACAAGAACACTTATGCAGTATTTATAAGGACATCAAATTTTAAACAAATTTAAGTTCTAATTCATTTAGATTCAAGATTCATTTAGTTTGAAAATAAAACAAAATGCAAAAATTTATTTTCGAAAATTCATATTTCCTGGAAAAAAATGAAACTCAATGAGGCATTTAATCAATATTAGGATTTTCCTCAAATAATTATATATATTAATAGTTGCACAATAAGGTTTTACTTGTGATATAGCAACAGGGATATGAGGTTACTTTCTGAATATTTCCAAACCTTAAATGGTTGCTCACCAATTCGGAACCTTAGTACCACACCTCGCCCATTTCTTTAACGGTTCGAGAATATAAATTTATACTATCTCCCGATTTACATACATACGTGTGTGTTTTTTTGTGAATGCTAAACATGCGCCAAATGCGATGACTCATTCAATCCGTGTGAGAGGAGCGTCAATGTTTGTCTCTGTGTGTGTGTGTTTGCGGCAGTGTGTGAGTGTGTGTTGGCCAAATTTTGAATGGCTGCCAAATGGCGGCTTCCTCGGTCGCCGTCGTATTAATTATGGCTGTTCCACGTCGCTGTGTTTGTTTGTCAATTTGTCTTCGCTCCGTTTGTTGACTGCCCAAGAAGCTATTTTTTTGTCGAGGAGATCTGCGGTTTAGCCACAGCCAGCGAGCATAAATTTGTTGACAAGTGTAAATGTCGGGGCGGGAAACTCAATCTCTGAACTCGGAGGCGCCCCTGAAAATGTCATCTGCCAGATGAAAGACTTAATGACCCAACCGCCCACACACCTGCTCACCTTCTCTCTAAAATATGAAAATGAAACTTTCGACAGGCGTGTGGACACCTTACGGTTCCAGCGGCGATCTAAATCAATCGGGTGCCACCTCGGCCACGCCCCCTCCGCCACCGCCGCCCTCGCTGCCCGTTTGGACGCCCCAACCGTCGCCGGTGCTCAGCGGTCGCAAGGAGTTCCGTCCGGTCCGCTTCGAGTCGCCCACTCTTCCCCGGAGGTACACGGCCCAGCAACAGAAGACGACGACGACTGCGAATCCGCCGTGGTCGCCAACGGCGGAGAACGGACCTGGTGCCCCACTGCCCCCCGCACCACCGTCGCTCCACTCCGCGAACTCGGTGAACTCCAACTCGGACTACGCCGAAACGGACTGCTCCGGCTACTTTGCTCCCGTGGCGCCCAGTGCCAGCGTTTCCGACAAGATCAGAAGTACTATATCCACACGCAGATTTCCCTGTCTCTTTTTAAACTCTCGAAACGTTCGTCTGTTCCTAAACCAATACTCAAAGCAATCCATTTTGAAAAACAAACTTATGTTTTCAATATCCGATGGTAAAATTAGGAGGGAATAGGTAATCAGTTTTTATAGTCAGAGTATGTAACATATTCAGTTTCCAGCATCAAGATATGCCACAAGATGTTAACTTCTTTCTAGAGCCAAACAAATTTTTTTTCAATTCCTTTAAATATTCTTCTTGCAATAGACACATGTAATGTTAAAAATATTACACAGACCCATAAACATGAGCATCTCACCTGATTTGTATCTGCTTTTGTTTTAATTGTTTAAGGTAGACCTTGCTTGTCTTGCCAATTAGGTAAAATTTTAATTGCGACCGCCAAAACTATAAATATTTTTGTTGCATGTTAGTATTATATTGGGGTACTTTCAACTGAACAGCCATAATTTGCTCAGTTTCAGCAGTAGTTCACTTCATCAAAGGAGGCAACAGATTGAAAATATTCCCTATCCATTTTTATAGTTGCTGCATTTATTGCCTAGCAAACGAAATAAGTTCAAAGGCTCTTAAAAGTTGATTAGCCATAAAATGAAGAGTTTAATTTCGTATTCTTTCACCTGAGTCAGATATTTTGAACTGAATTTTGTATCTTTCGTATTAAGAACAAATTCTTTGAGTATTGGACACTGCAGAGTCGGATTTCCCGGCTGTATCTTTCTTGTTTTCCCCTCCCCTGCGGAACCTCACTTTTCTGCCCCATAATTCGCTGATTTCGCTAACGATCACTATCGTTTATCGCCCAAAAAAGCCTTCGAGCGCTCTTCTTCCAACTCGGAGCTGCAGAGGCCGTTCGTGCGGCGCCAGCTGTCCGACGCCAGTCGTCCGGTCTACAGGCCCAATGAAGTCAGTAAGTATAGCCGAGATCTTAGGGGGCAAGTGGCCAGGTGAAGCGAGCTCATGTCGACGCACAACACTGAATGTGGCTGTGATTGTGATGTTTGTGTCCTCCGTCTAACCCCGAGTACCTAAGCCAAACACCCAAACCGAAACCCCTAGAATCCCTAGAACCTGCAACCACTAATAAAATCACAACCCAATCTGCGGTTTCCAGTCTACAAAGTGAAGCACGAGTATATGAGCGAACCGGAAACGGGAAGCGATCGTCCCAGGAAAATGGCGCAATTAGGGCGAAGACAGTACGAAGGCATCGGTCCGGTGACCAACGATGGAATGCCCATCATCCTCAGATCGGTAAAGGAAGCGCCATTATTTGTGGGGATATCGAGGGGTTTCTGATTCGAGTCTTGTTCCTTATCCCATTCCAAATGCAGGAGGTCCAGGAGCCGCATCAGCATGAGTGGTACAAGCGTCTGTATCAGACGATTCACAAGCAGAAGAACGGCGGTAAATGTCTCTCACTTTCCCCTTGGTCTGAAGCATCACCAAATCCCAGAGAATCCCACTTCCATTTCCATCCCAGCTCATTCCCAAAACCCCAAAGAATCCCTTATCCAATCCCCATCCTCCTAATGCTTCAGTTTGACCTCCAACTTATCGTTTCGTTCTCCTCAAAAAAAAAACTTGTTTCTCATTTCCCATTCGCTTTCGCCTCAAGATGATTTCGTGATTCGCTACAAGTGTCCCAGAGGTGATTCTTTGATCTATAAACTATGCTATTCCCCAGTAGCCTCTCCCCTTTTTAGTTACCCGCTTTGCCTGTAAATATAGTTGGGGTTTTGAGCCCTGTACCCTCTAAAAAATAGAGAGCCTCATACATTCTGGTTTTGATTTTCGGTTTACCCGCATGCTGTACTATTTGGTTTATCTACATATGATTTCTCCCACGTTTTCGTATCCAGCCCATTGACAATTTGGAAGCTTCTACTAAATTTCAAGACTAACCTAAGCTAAGGCCTAACTCACCCAACGCAAATAAAACCACAAAACAACGCTAACATCATGTCCGCCAGTACACCACCAAGAAAATGTAATGATTGTGATAAAGTAGAGCTTGATAAACCGCTTTAGCTTACCCGTTGATATATTTACCGTGACTAATCAGTTATTTCTATATCCGATCAGCCCGTTCGTCGTACAAGAGCAACGGCTACGTCTCGGAACCTGAACCCAATTACGATTCGGATTACTCCACGGTGAGATATCGCACCCAGAATCCCCACCGAGTGCAGTCCGTCTCCTCGGCGGTCAATGTGCGCAGTCTCAATCAGGACGATAAGTAAGTTCAAATCATTAACTAATAATATACACTCTTTACTTAACAAACCCCTCCTAATCACAGGTTGTATGGTACTATGCCAAATCCCATAAAATCAGCCCAGAACTCGTATAAAAATCAGCCAGGTCGCATCGAGAACTATACGACAGGTCATTCTTCTGTTTCCGAAAAGGAAAAGAAGGAGGTGAGTTTTAACTTCAATCCTAACAAACATCCACATAAACTCTTCATCAGTTGGACCAAAATGATATTTATTTGCGGTCTATTCACTTCATCGCCATCACTTTTAAGCCGTGCAAAGCATTCGCTTAATAAAGCCACCTATATAATCCTCAGCACCAATCAATATCAGCTTATTGCCTTCACACCGCCATGATAATACCCCATAAGCCCTGATCGGGTTCACAGTCATCAAGCATTCACATTCACCAACCATACTCAGTCATTCAGATCGCCTCAAATATTCTAACTCACAGCAATTATTTTATTCACAATTCTAGTGGTGGGACGAAGTGATGGACATCTTTAACGGGGTATGATCTCTCTACTTTATAATCTAGATTTAGTCTTAGTTTATTTACCTTCCGATTGAGTTCTTTCGAGACCGTTTTCCGTTGTCTAACGTGAACTAAAACCGTTCCCAACTATCTGCTTTTACTATTGTATTTTTCCTTGCCTTCCATTTACCGCCTGCCAAAATGCCTGATCCATAAATCGTTCGCAAAGTGGCTTAGAGAGCATACACGCATCCCGCGAATAATCATAGAGTTTGTCGATGATTTCGACGGAAATGGAGTAAGTTTTCCTGGACAAAGCATCCGTCGATCTGTCAGAGATTTTGAATTATGAAGCGAGGCAGGAATCATTGCAAAAAGGCACAAAAACTACTAATAGAAGCCAATCAATCAAATTAAATTAATTTTTTGCATTTGGCACTAACTTATGTATTTTATTTTTTCCTTTAATAGAATCTAGAACAATCGAAACTATCGCCATTGTATACCGAAGGTAACTTGTCCAGGTAAGCAAAAATTATATATCATTTAAAGATTTTTAGATTGATTAATTATTCGTGTTCTAAATTCAAAACTCAGTTGAGAGCCTAGGTATACCATTTAAATCAAATAAATTCAAAATAATTTGAATTTCAAGGTTAAACGGTCCCCTTAAGATCTAAATACAAAAAAATAATAATAATAATTTACCAAAAATGAGAAATTTTGTCTAAAAATTAAATTTTTAACTTTGTCCAGTAATTCTTTTAGTTTTCTTTAAAGTGAAACAACAGAAACGCATTTATTAACTTTCCCCTCTTTGTTTCTCCAGAGCTTTGGCCAAGGAATCTGGCTACACCAGCGACTCGAACTTGGTCTTCCGAAGAAAGGAAATCCCCGTGAGCAGTCCTCTGAGTCCAGTTGAGCAAAAGCAGGCCTACAAGAGTCTCCAGGCAGGCGGAGAACCTCCACTGCTCGGCTTCCGCAAACCAGCGCCCGAGAAGCCCCGTGGTGAGTTGTGCAACCCATTTCATTTCTGGTTTTAGTATTTCTCCTAACTCTAATTGAATACCTAACATAGTCGTAAGTCGCTGGGCTATTCTACTCACTAATTCTGCAAACGGTGTTGGTTCCAAGGTCTATCTTTCGTACACTTTAACTAAGTAAGACTGTAATTTTTAGCCACCTGTTGCCCTGGTTGTATTTCCTCTTTCACCCACAATCACTGCTCACCTGAAGTTGTTATTATTGTTTGCCCTTGAGAAGGCGTAAACCACCAGCAAGTAAAAACAAAAAGTGCACCACCGTTCAAGGCACTTTCACCAGGCACCGCCAAAAACGAATAGATGTTTTATCTGAAAATCCATTTATTGCCTTCCTCAAGAAATTGTGGAGGAGTTCGAATTCATACAGATCACTCCCACGCTCACAAAGATTCGTGTGAGCACCAAGGAGCTGGAAGAAGAGGAGGAGCCCTTGAAGAAGCCGCCAACAATACCACCACCTCCACCGCCACCACCACCGCCTCCAATTCCTCAAAACAAGAGAAAAGAAAAGAAGCCGACGAAGATGTTCTCCCAGATTTCGAAGACTCTGCCCTCGTTCATTCCGTTGAGCAAGAAGCAGCAGGCTTCGGATGATCCTCCTCCAAGGCCTCCTCATCGGAAGTCGAGCTGCACGAAGAGCACTGTGAGGGTCCTGAGTTCCGCCTCGAAGTCGAGACATGAGCAGTGCTTCCAGCCCCCGAATGGGAGTGCTCCGGGGGTATCCACCATCACCCTGAGAAAGGTGGCCACCTCCAGTTGTTCCCGACGTGAACCCATTTGCAGATCCAAGTCAGCGGGAGCTGTTTCCACTCTCTTGCAAACGCTAACTGCCACCAAGGAAACCCGATTAACCCGTCGCGTTCAACAGCAGCAACAACAGCAATCCCGTTTGAGATCCTCAAGTCCCAATAGACGTCCCGCTCGACTTTTGGCCTTGCGTCACTCCAGTCGAAGTCCCGTGGCCTTTGGCAGAAGTATCTCCAAGGAGCGCAGCTTCGCTGAGGAGAAGAAGCGATTGGAGAACACCCTACCAGCTAATCGCACCAACTTTGAGGCCAGTACGAATATCCTGAGGGATCCCTCCTTGAAGTCCCCGCAAGAAGTGAGGGAGGCTGTGCGTTCTTATGCCACTTCGCGTAGCAAGTCCTTGCCCAGACTTCGTCACACCACAGTGAGCACCACTACCAGGCAGACCATGTGCTTCCCCCAAGTGAGACCGCAAACCCTCTTGGATTGTGGCACTCGTTCGCTGAGGAAGTCCTCTTCGAAGGCTGGAAAGAGTCAGCCTAAGACGGGATCGAATGAAAGTCTGCCAAGGAGCAACTCCACCTTCTCCATTGACTCGATGGTGCGTCAGGAATTCGTGCCCATCGCACCACCCAAAACTTATGTGAGCAAGTCCAGAGGATCGGCCTCCAAGGCACTGGTTCCACTGCAGAATAGCCGCAGTGAGGGTCATGTTCCCCGGAAGCGTCAGTCGGGAAAAGCCACCTCCAAACCACCGCCACCAGTCACCGTTCACTCTTACAGCGAATCGGTGCGTGAGAAGACCAACTTCTGGAACGAGTACAATGCCAAGCAGGCCATGTCCTTGCCGCAGGAGTACAAGTTCTGTCCGGAGGATGTGTGTGATTTCGCCAGTCAAACCATCCAGCAGCCTTGCATCGAGGATCTCGTTTGGAAGTACGAAGGCAAGGAGCAACGTCCTCCGAAGCAGGTGATTGTAACAGACATTGCTCGTCCTCAATCGCCACTGTTGAGCCAGGAGCGTAGATTTTCCCCAACTCGGGAGGTAAGGGTGCCCCAAATCAGCAGGGAGGTGCGATCCCCCTCTCGTCGTCGCATCGACAGTCTGCGTTCCAAGGACAAAGAGCAATCCTTGGCCAGGGCCAGCAGCCTAAGCAGCGCTGATGAACGTAGAAGGGCCACTCCAGCTCCTTCGAATGGACTCTACCAATGCGGGGAACTGGCCCACAGTGCCACTTCTTTGACCCACTTGGAGCGGCACAGCCCCAGTTGTCGGTATCGCAACAATTGCGAGCGCTTCACCGAGCTGAATCGATTCTACAGCACCTTGGAGCGAGTGGGTCAGCTGGAGAGAGCCACCTCCTCGAGCAGCTTCCATCCCCTGAGGAAGGACGCCGAACTCCTGGACTTCGATGAGTGGCGAAGGGTGCGACTGCATGAACGCGCCGAAAAGGAACTCCACTACTTGGTGGGTAAACTACAAGACGACCAGAAGCAGCGCGATCTGCACTTCCGTTCCAAGGACGTGGACTCCATCAAGTGGCGCCAGGAGGCGGACCAATCGCTGATTGCCAAGAAGAAGTCCGTGGAGGATCTTCGGGAGAACTTCGAGCAGCTGAATCTCCTCAGGCAGCAGCAGCAATTGCAATCGGAGCCGGTGCATCGCCACTGGAGACGCAACACGGTGGCCGATTTGGCCAGCAGCCTGGAGCATCGAGTGGAGGCCGAACCCGAAATGGAACGCCACTTGGACAACGATCTGGTGAGCACTTTGTCCAAGGATCAGATCAAGAAAATCACTCAGCAGCTGAACGAGATTTACTCGGGAAATCGTCAAATCCCCGCTGTGGAGGAGCAGTATGTGGTCACTGTGGAGAAGGGTTCTCGTCCTAATGGACTAAAGGTGCGATGCAATTCCACCATCTCCAAGGAGCAGCTACTGGGACCCATTCAACAAAAGAAGGTTGAGCAGCAGGCTAATCAAACTCTGCCCAGAGCAACTCGCAGTCAATCGCCGGTTGTGGTGGCCAGGGAAACCCGAGGTGCCATCGCCGCCAAGAATGCCGAGTTGACTCTGTCCAAGGCCCCAGATGTTCCACCCAGACCAAAGGCCACTCCAAGTCAGGAGGTCAAGAGCAAGCCACCTACAAAGCCGGAAACCAAAGTGGAAGTTCGTGAACCAGCAGAAGATATTAGTCAGAAAATCCAGTACTTCGAGGATCGTCAATTCGATGAACCACCCAAGACCATTTACCACGCTCGCGAGGATTCCTCTCCCGACGAGGCGGAGGTGATGCGTCTCATCAATCAGAACATGCAGGAACGTCAGAGGGCCAGGCAACTGAATCACCACGAGGAGCTGAGCAACTCCCTGACCGATTTGAGCGGGGTATTCGGCGAACGTCCGGCAGCTCGGGTAAATTTTCACTTGCACAGCCCGCCCGAACGTCCGCCCGACGATACCGAGCTTATCAGCTTTGGGAACGGATCGCCGGATCCCGCCGACGGCAGTCTTGAGCTCTACTCGGACTCCTACTACCGATCGAGGAGCCTTTCGCCGCAGTCGCAGGTCTCCGCCTGCTCGAGCTCCTATCTGCAGAGGGTCTACACCGGGGAGGTGAGGAAGATGCGCCAGCACTTCGAGAGCATCCAGCAGTCCGGGGAACAGTCCCGGGAACCATCCAACGAGCGGCGTGATTTTTTTGGGCTTAGCTCGCTGCGGAGGGCGCGCAGCGATCCCGAGATGAATGCGGGATCCAAAGACGTCCCGGTCACCGCTACGGATGCGGTGGCCAAGGAGGAGGTGCCTCGGTTAACTCACAAGTTCGAACTAAGAGGAGCCACGCCCTCGCCGGAGAGGGGAAGAAGGCGCTTGAGGAGCGTCCAGGACCGACTGATGCCCCACATCGATATCATCAGCAAGACGGCGGCTCTGAAGAAGGAACTTCCCTTCCGATCGAGTCCCACGAGGAGTGTGAGCAGCAATAGTCACTGCTTCGAGCGATTGAGAATGCGCTACGAATCCCCGGAACCTCAGACCCAGAGCTACTTGTCCACCTCGCATCCGGATATGCGGGATGTGCACGACATATCCCCTCACTTGAGTGCCGACTGGGTGGCCCACAAGCACCCAGAACCCTCGAAGCCCAAGGAGCTGCCCAAGAAACCGCAGAGAATTGTGCGGGCCAGCTCCACATCACCACCACGACCAGTGAAATCCCAGAGTCACAAACAGAGCTCCCGACTTACCAGCTGCATGAGGGATATATTCGCCAACCAGAAGTTCGATCCCAACAAACATCGCCCAAAGGCGCGTTATGTTCCCGACGGAGCAGAGAATGGCAGTCAGAAGCCCAAGGATAATGAAACTTTGGAGAGACTCAAGAAGAACGCCATGGTGACCTTTAAAGGTGATTTATAGTAACAACTTTTTGGGGGCAGTGATTTTGGGTTCAAAGGGGGAATTCGCCGAGCCAGGGCAACTTTTCCTATGCTTCGTTGGTCGCCTGAACTCGTAGAACTAGCTGCTGCTTTTTGGGTACTCCCCCATTGGTCTTAACTACTCGAAATTATCCCTTTCTACGTCTCTTGTCTAAAATCGTTGGCGCAGATCTCGACCCGAACGCGCCCCCCATTCCCCCCCAGCCGCCAGTCAAGGGTCTCTCCGCCTACGATTTCCCATACAACACCGACACCGTCGACGGATCAGGTGAGTTACGATCGAGCAGGTGATAATTCCTGGTCTATTCCGAATTGGTGCAAGATTAACCGCCGCTTCAGAGAAGTACTGAAAAATCATAAAAATATTTTAGGCCTAAAAGCTATACTGGAAAATAGGAAGAGAGTACTTACAAAAGTCTAATACATACGAGTACATCCTTTATTTAAAAAGTATTAAAATTGTATAAAAGTACCATCCTATCAAATCCTTTAAAAAGTTTCTAAGTTTTAAAACTTACACTTGATAAATGTATCTAGAAATTTAGGACACCAGAATGGATTTTATGCATTTTACAAAAGTTATACTTAGAAAACAATATTATTATAATAATAATCCAAATATATTCTTTCAATTACTTTAACCTCTTTGGTTACACGGTGCTGACATCCATAGATTAAAAGTCGAATCAAATGAAAACAATATAAACAGCCCATAAAGTGGACTATTTATTATTATTTAGTGTGGTGCTTAACCGAAACGACTGCCAATTTTGTACCCCATTCCAAGCCTGTGTCATTCGTTGACCTTTGCTAAAAGCATTTTTACTACCGCAACGACGCACAATTTCCGCAATTGGTGCAATTTCGCTTTGAAGGCGCGCCGTGTCACAGTTGACCAAATTAATCGATATCTCCAATGAGAACGAGAATGGGAATGAGAATGCCGGCCACGCGGACGTTTCTGACCTGCTTAGCTCACCTGGTCGAGCCGAGGCACAACCACCACCCATCGCAGCACCACCCACCTGTCTATCCGCCTGATTGGGTGGTGGCACTGCTGCCTTTCGTGGCTGCCACGTGGGGGTGGCTCACCTTGCCGGCTCTGCACTTCGGCAGCGTTGCCATGGCCAAGACGGTGCCGTCAACACAAAAAACAAACTCGGGAACACATACCTGTCGGGGCCGTCGTTAGTCAGTTTCACTTTTCCGTGCCAAAAAAACGTGTCTTTCGGGTTGCGCTCGCTCGGAAAAATCCCAATTAAATGTCTTACGCAAGTGCGGCAGTATGATCCACCAAACGCTGGCGCCGCACCGCAGCCAATCCTCCAGTTACTCCAAGAGCAAGGCGGTCCACTGGCGGCAGAAGTTGCATCGCAGCTGCGATGATCTGGAGTCGGAGAACGACCGATTTCCACAGCCCCAAAGCTCGTGGCAAAGCCATGAGATTAACGATAATCCGTGGCAAAGGCCCCAAAGCAGTGGAGGTGACACCAATCACTTCGGTAGCAGCAACAACAATTCTATGTTGCATCAGAGCAGCGTTTGCGATATACCCAATTGCGGGAAAATCCTGTGGATAAATCGCCGGGGATACGATTACGAAAGACCCGCTCCACTGAGGCCTCCCTCTCCCTCGAACGACCAGGGTGTAGCAGGTCCAGGTGGCTACCACGTGGTGGGACTGCCCCAAACGCCGCTGCCCCAGCAAAGGCAGGCCTACCTGGCCAACCAGCATGCCATCGGCGCTTCCATGCCACTGCTCCTCTGGCAGCAGCAACAGCAACTGCTGCAGCAGCAGCAGCAACATCAGCGCTACTTGCAACAACAGCAAAATCTCAGATATCGAAACCTGCAACATCAGTGGCCAAGCAGTTAGTATTTATCGTAAAACAAAGAGTCATGTTAAAAGAAAATAGGGTGATTACTCTTTCAAAACAATTATCAAACATTCCTTAAATTCAAAAAGGAAGTTAGTTGTTATAGAAAAAAATTTTATAAGAGAATAACACGTTATTAATTTTTAGAATACTGTTTTTCATGGATACAGAGAGAAATAGATCATCGTAAAATATTTACATATTTATATTTAAATTACTTTTAAATAGCCAATAATTATCTTTTATTTAAAGATTACTCTGACCACAAATGCCAATAAACAATATGATAGACCCCCTTCGAGATAAAAGAAAGCAAAACGATCGATTGAACCCCTTTCGCAGCTCCCACCTTTCCATTCGCTTTGCACTTTCTCATTTGACTAAGCGACCTTCCTGTTTTGCACTTTCTCACGGTTTTTCTTTTGCAAAAAGGCAAAAACTCGTTATCACCTGGGCTGGCTGAGATTGCTCAAGAGAGGTGGCCGAAAGAGAGCCCAAGTTTGGGCCAAACTCCTCACGTTCCAATCTTTAAGTGTTTGATAAAAGCTTGAGGCTGTATCTGTAAATGCAAGGAAAAGCTTTTATTTTACTATGATCAAGATGAAGAGTGAACAGTGGGTAGGCATTAATTAAATAGTCTGATAAAATATAAATTTCAAAAGCTCTGAAAATTCTTCACTTTTTTTCAGAATAGATGTAGGAAATTTAAAATGTAATATTGTGATTTACGAGTAATGTAATGGCAATTGATTTAAATGTTGTCGTCATAACAATTATATAAACCTCTGCTTAGGAGTTACAAACAAACTTTAAAACTCCTTTCTTGGTAGTGTTTGTAAAAGCTGGAATATGCAATTAAAATTTAACAGCAAAGTATAACTTCAAAAGTCGGAACTGCAATCTCCGAAACAAAAACTATGTGAATACATCTCCAGTTACAAAATTATAAAATCAAAATTTTTTAGTTCTTTGCCTTTCAAGCCATGTTTTCACCCTTTGACCCACTGTGCCACCAACGAGCAATTCACACACCCCACTGCACCACCAACAAAAACAACAACAATTAAACGTGAGGCGGCGCCGGCAGAAAACGGAACTTGTAGTAATACGAACGCCGCTATCTCTGGAAATTACTCACCCGGCGGAGAGTCGTTAAAAGACTCCGAAGCTTAGTCTTCTGGTCTTCCCTCTCTTTCTGCTCTTCTCCATGGGTCAGTCTCTCTCCCTCTCTTTCTATATTGCTCAGCCGCCTGGGGACCCCATTCAATTTCGATTTCAGTTTCAGTTGAGCGCTACGCGTGCAACGGTAAAGTCGGTTATTAGTCCCTCTCTTTCTCCGCCCTCTCTACCCGTCTCTTTCTCCGGCTCAAGTGAAGCGCGAAGCTTGTTTGTTGTTGTTCGCCGATTCTCCTCAGCTTTATCACAAAATTGCCCCAGCCTTCGATTCGATTTGGTTCCAATTTCGATTCTAATTCTGATTGATTGTTGTGACAAATGAGTGCTCACCGAAGAAAACAGTAGAGAAAACCATTTAAAAAGTTAATTGAGCGTGAAAAGCAAGGAAAAGCCTTGAAAGGCCTAGGTGTATCTGTGTTTATTTGTGTTTGTCTACGAGAAAGATTAATGCATTCAAAGCTCTCCGTTTAGGGTAGAAAATACTTTAAAAGTGTTACTAATTGGAAATCAGCGATTATTTACTTGAATACTTATTGGAAAATGTTTTTACTATCAAGCGAATTTCCGTGTTCCATTAAAATCTCATTAATCAAATTTCTATAATGCCTGGAGAAACCCTTTTACAAGAAATTTAGTTATGTTATACCACTTCCAAAGTAAATGGCTTAAATATTTGATGTATAAATATAACTAACACGTATTTCCTCAAAAAATGCTGACAAGAATGTACTATATTTAGAATTACCTTGATAGCTAAACCTAAAGCTAAGGGTCTTCATTCTAGAAGATAGCACTATCAAACTGATAACACAACGATTTTTCTCTGTGCAAGCACTTTCAAACGCTGGCAAAAATATGCCGCAGCGAATCAGTGAAAGTGAAAATCCCCCGAGTGTCAATTAAACCTCTCTTTCCATTTCTTCACTTGGCGTAAACAGCACGTACAAAGCTGTTGTTAATTGTTGTTGTTCGAAAACAAAGCTTTGCGGCTCATGGGCTATTTACTGGAAAAATATTTGTGCAGCTGCCATATCATATACCATTTCCACCTACCCCCATCTTCCGAGGTTTTCCCCTTGAAATTTTTCCGAATCGGGTCAATAGAGATGTTGAGTTATTTTCCATCTTTATCAGTTGGCCGGCTGCTGCGCAATTCAATTACAGAATCAATTGAACGGAATGGAATCGGGGCAATAAAAAGCGATGAGTAACTCCCAGAGATTCGCATGCAAATAAAAAGATGTCTTATCGCGAGGTCAGTTGGCTTAATAGAGCTCTAAACTGCTGGGAGTGAAGTTGTTGTTGCCTCCTTAACACACCCAATTACCAGATTGTTAAGCTAACGAGCATTAACTTCAATTTGAGGCAATTCTCCATTCGAGAGAGCTGCTTAATTCAATTTGAGACTGTGGAATGCCACTTATTACTCATTACTGGTGGTGCGGGGTATCAGGTGGGTGGGGGTTGTGTGTGCTGGCTGTTTATTTGCCTACCAATTGGCAGACAGATATGTACTGCCTCACCCGACTCGCAGATAAGCCAGTGTTTCGTAACAGAAGCGCCAGCAGTAACAACGATTTGCGGTTAGATCGTCTTACGACTGAGAAACTACGATGGCGACAACAGATTGCTGTTTTTAGGGTAAACATCGAGTACACTTGGGAAAATGAGTTCTTAATTCGAATGGGTTTTTTATTAAACGATCCAATACAAGTGGGTTTGACATTAATATTTCACAACTCAATCCAATATGCTCTAATAAATAGAGTATGCTCTAATAAATAAAGTATGCTCTATTAAAAAAAGAATCCATTTTCCGTAACTTCCACTCGTAGAAACTAAGAGCTGTAGGAATAATAGAAGAATAATATTTTGGAACTTATTCCAAATTCAAAAACCAAACAAAAGGGTGTATGTATAGGATTTACTTTAGATTACAAGGTTATATAAGAGAACCAACATTGTAGAAGCCGCTTCGCTTAAGCTTGAGCCTGAACCCCATCTCGCTGCCTTTGTGCCTCTCATCTGAACAGAGTCTCCCAATCGATACTATGCCACAGACGTGAACATCCACTTCAAGACCCCGATCAGGCATGAGCAGCGCCAGAACGTGCCGGAGGAGGAACTAGCCATTCGCCAAGCGGAGCACATGCAGAAGCTCTACCACGAGGAGCGCCGTCGCAAGTATCTACAGGAGCTGCAGGACATGAACTCGCGCCGCCACACGGACAACTTCACGCCGTCGCAGAAGTCGCCCATCGCCCTCAATCGCTACGATGACTTCCCCACGGACGTGACCCTCAAGTCTTTGGTGGGCCCCAAGACGGTGGCCCGCGCCCTCTTCAACTTCCAGGGACAGAGCTCCAAGTAAGAGGTCTTTAAAGCATTAAAAGCAAAAGGATTTCAAGCCAGAATCTTTTCAGGGAACTCTCCTTCCGCAAGGGCGACACCATCTACATCAGGCGGCAGATCGATGCCAATTGGTACGAGGGCGAGCACAATGCCATGATTGGCCTTCTTCCAGCCAGTTATGTTGAGGTGAGTTAATATTAAATGAGCTCTAAATCGATTGATGATTGGTCAGCATCAAATAGGAAGTACCCAAGCTCTGACTAGTTGAAAAATAGCAAGTTTAAAATGAGTCTAAAGAAAATGAATCAATTCCTAATTTCCGATATTGCAAAGCAAAACTAAATTAGCACTTTGAGTCACAAAATGAGTCAATTAAGAAAGAGCCTAGTTTTCCTAGAAATCCGTTTACTCATAGAACATATTTTGAAATTTCCAGATTGTCAGTCGAGATGGTGCCCGTACTCCATCGAAGCGACCATCGGAGGGTCAGGCCCGTGCCAAATACAACTTCCAGGCCCAGTCGGGCATCGAACTCTCCTTAAACAAGGGCGAATTGGTAACTTTGACTCGTAGAGTAGATGGAAACTGGTTCGAGGGTAAGATTGCCAATAGGAAGGGCATCTTCCCGTGCTCTTATGTAGAGGTAAGACCTAAAATGAAAATATATAGTTGCTTGCCTAGCTAATCTTTCTCCCATCAATAGGTTCTCACGGATATTGGTGCAGAGGATATTGCGGCCAGGACAACGACCGTGATCACCACCCAGAGCACCACGAATCTGCGGCCCAATCTCGATGTGCTGCGCACAAACATCAACAATGAGTTCAATACGCTCACACAAAATGGAGTTCAGCCGCCGAATGGAATCCTCAAGGAGACGCGGACGATTCACAAGACGGACGCACTACATGTGGACACCAGTTCCGAGCCATTGGCGTAAGTTATCATACTTTAAAAAGAAAATCCCAATTTAGACGGTGGACTACTTGAAACTCTGAGTTTTAGAATTACGTAGAAGTGTACTAAGATAGATTTCCAAATTAAAATGTTCTGCATACATTTAGATACTTCTAGTGGGCGATTTTAAAACTCTAAGATCTTTCAATATTTTGAACTAATAATTGATCTTCTTTGTATTGTAACCATCCAAATTATAAACTATATTTTAGGTACCGCGCCCTGTACAAGTACCGGCCGCAGAACTCCGACGAACTGGAACTCCTCGAGGGGGATGTGGTCCATGTGCTGGAGAAATGCGACGACGGATGGTTCGTGGGCACATCGCAGAGGACCGGCTGCTTCGGCACATTCCCCGGCAACTACGTGGAACGGGCCTAGAGGAGACCGACCCGATGATCCTGCCCCGGGATCGGCGTTCGTCTCTAATCTTAATGAATTTTTGTAGTCTAATATGAGGAGGAATCAGCGTGGCCGGGGCGAAGGCAGTTCTATGATTAATTCTGACTTGGTTTTACTGGATTATTTTATGTTGTTGTTGAATAATTCTTATCCCTCTAATTTCGCTGCTTTCGTTTTGCCGTAATTTAAAGCTATTTATTTATTTTTAAACAGAGCATTAATTATATCAATGTTGGAATTACGTTTATTTATGAGATGCAATATTAACCAGACGTTGTCCCCTCCACCTCCCCCACTCCGACACCCCATTCACTGAAACACACACACACACCAAATATCGAAGGACCTAAATTAAGATCATACATATATATACTTTGTCGTTTACCTACTAATTTTAACTAGTCACAGCTAATTTCCAAAAAAAGAAAACCAATTACAAAAAAATGAAGAAGCAAGTGGAGACCGTTGAACTAAAGTGCCTTAAAGTTGAAATTTTAAATGACTAAAAATAAAACAAAAAATATAAAAAAAAAACACAAGTGCTGAGATCCAAGTGCCCTTGTTGAGTCGGCCAAGTGGATATTTATTATTGATAATTATTAATATTATTTATGATGATATTGTCGAGTCCGAACCAACAGAAACAATTTTAAAATCATTACAAAAAGCGTTTATTACACAGACACTGTTGCAAGCGTATTTAGTAAATAAAGAAGAAACTAAAAAACAATGAGGATGGTATTCGTTTTATTGGATTTATGGGAAAACAAATAAAGTTTCGGAAATAAATTTTATGATAATGAGTTATAAAACCTATACCTCAACATATTAGTTAACATTAAATGCTTAAAAGCTAAAAGCAAACCTTTTCGCAGTAGTAAATGTTTTATATAAAATATATATGTTTTTACTTTGCTTATGAGTACATTTAATGGGTCCAAGGCATAACAAATTAACTTAAATAAACCACTTTTCCCTAATACTAGATTAACAGTAGCTTCCGAAATAAATTAACCTGCTCCTTCCTCGCTTAACCAGCTGCCAATCACGTTTGTACCAATTTGCGTTTCCGCTCCTGTTTAAGTTCCCGTTTGACCGCTCGCTGCTCCAGCTCCTCAGTGTATTCGGCGTACATGGCCAGCAGAGCGGGATAAAGTTTGTGGTAGTGCTGCAAATCCTCAAGAGTCACTTCCATGTTGTCGAAGGCTATTGCCACGCGCTGCATGTCCTCGTCACTTGGTAACCTCGGACATTTAGCGTAACGCTGTGAAAAGTGGGTGAGAATGGTGTGGCGAGCATCCATATTTCGACCCTGCTGTATCGCCTGCGACACTGTGCTGTGCGTTTTCAATCGTGCCTCCTCCTCCAGATCATCCTCCATTGTTGCCTCGTGGATTAGCACGGTGGAATCGCGTCCCAGATCGACCAAGTCCTGACAGGGCATTGTATCACCACTGTAAGTAATCTTCACTGGCTCATCTTCGTGCTTGGCTGCTAGAGTTAGACTTATTCCAAACGAGTTGGGGCAGTGCCTGACCAGACAGCTGGATATGGCTGTGATTCCCAAAGGTTCAACTTTATCCCCCGTTAACGGGTTAGCCAGAAGTTCGGCATTGGCCACTAGAGTATACGCGTCGTCAATTGTTTCGATTTCGCGATTGTAGAACTCCAGCCAAGGCTCGATTTGTCGAGGAGCCAGTAGAATGAGTGGCCCTGCCTTCGGTTCCAGTTGCCTCCTTTCCCGAAGTAGACCAATTAATCCAATGTGATGATCAGCATGCAGATGTGACACATAAATCGCCTGAAGTTGTCGCAGAATCTTCTGCCCCTGTTCGATTCCATAGAGCCGCACAATCTGGCCGTATGTGCCTTCTCCACAATCCAATAGCACGTAGGCATCAACCGCAGTCTTGATCAAAATGGAGCTGACGTTGCGTGTCTTATTGGGAATGCAAGAGCCGGTGCCCAGGAAAATAATCTTTGGGAAGCTGTCAGCGGAGTTGACGGGGAAACTGTAATCTTCTTTATATTTGGCCAACAGTTCTGTGAAGCCTGGCACAGCGTGAGTTTCCTTAATATATTCCTCCGGCGTGAGCTTGGATTCCAGAGTGCGATCCAGACCTTTTACAAATTAACCAGTTTTATTTAAGTGAGTTTTGAGGTTAATTATAATGGTTGAACTCACCCTTTCTTGGCCTTAAATGAAAGCTGGTCATGGCTACCACACCCTGTTCTCCTTCTTCACTAGACTTCTCATCCTTTTTCGCGTCAGCATCGGTCTCTTCCAGCTTGGTTTTCTTAAGATTCAGGCTTAAACTCTGGCTTGGACATGAAATCTGCTCCCCCAGCAGTGGAAAGACTTGCGGAGCCAGCTGATTCAACTGGTGCTGAATGCGATGGGCAGCCGCATAGCCAGAAAATTGGTTTAGCGGAGAGCTCAAGTGGATGTGCTCGGTGCCCGGCGAGAAATTCTCCACCAGGAAATCCTTGTAGTCCTGCCGGGAAGCTATTTGGTGAGGCGTGAAGTGAATTACCAAGGCCACTTGGGTAAGCTTCTCCTCGCCCAAGCTCTTGAGTCGTTTCGCATGTGCCAATAGTCCTGGTAGATAATCCTCAGTGGGAACGTCCAAGAAAACAAAGGACAGAGCCGTTTCACTGGCCTCAGTGACATCAGCTGAACGAACTATTGTGCCATCGGGCAGGGTTACATCCTGTCCATTTTTGAGCTGTCCAAGGAGAGGTCCTGGCTTCAAACCCCTTTCCACGCACTTGACCAGGTTAAGAGCACCAGCTCTTGGTTTCAGCTGACAAATGTAGTTAACTACAGATTTCTTTTGATCTTCTGAACTTATTAACGGTAAAGAATCCACTTTCAGGATGGAGTCCTCAAAACAAGCGCCTTCCGAGCAATCGATTGGTCGCACCTGGAGATTCTTGAGCACCACGAAGCGTCGCATGGACTGCAACATGGGTCCCAGATGAGGTGGACCATGGAGCCCCAAGTCGCGCACTCCAGCATCTTGAATGGTCAGGGTAAGTCCGGGTAATCCTCCACAGGAGGCCCAAGTGTTTTGGGTTAGGAAGATTTGCTCCAGGCGGGAGAGCCGCGTTTTGTGCTCATGAGCCAATCTCTGAGTTCCCTCGCCGCAATTGAAGAGATAACGCGCTTGGTCCGTAAACAGATAAACAGCTGAAGGTGCTCCGTTGGCTCCGGAGCCCAAAATCTGGAGATTAACGGTTCCCGGCACCACGGATGCCAGTTTTTTCCTCAGGACATTGGGTTCCCGCTCGTACCGAGGTCCTGTTAGCGGATCTTTGGCCGAGGCTAATGTGGCCGCCATCGAATTACTCGTCGTTAGAGTTCGCAGAGTTCTATAGATTGGCGACGTGGCTGATTTCACTAAATGCATTCGTATTTCGTCAGCTTCTGTAACCGCGGTTCAATTAAATTTCTGGTTTATCCAAACAATTACAGTAATTTTCATCAGCCGGGGAAACGTGTGCCTCGACCAGCTGTTGCAATTAGGGATGACAATGTGCCTGCGATGTATCGAATAATTACCGGCAGTTGTGAAATATTTGATTAAATTTTTTAAAAACAAACAATGTTAATTTGTGATTTTGTTTTATAAATGTTCTTGAGAAAAGAAACATCTTAGCAACAAAATTGTGCTATAGCATTTTAGTACCGGTTTTTATAAATTTTAATTTATTTAATTTGCTTTTTATTTTATGCAGCCCTTAAGATGTTGTTGATCAACACTGTTTTTGTGGTATTTCTGTACTGTGCCACTGCGGTCACATTTTTGCCCACGTGCGTTTTGTTTGGCCTCCGCCGGCGCTAAATTCAACAGATATCTTTTAAATAAAAAGGATTCTCTGAAAATTAAGGTATTACAAATTGCCGAGCCATGGTTTTCTTCACATGCAACATCTGCGGCGAGTCCGTCAAAAAGCCAGCGGTGGAGAAGCACTACCAGACACGCTGTCGCGGCAAAGACAAAAATGTGTCCTGCATGGACTGTTTGAAGGACTTCTACGGCGAGGAATACGTGGCCCATATCAAATGCATCTCAGAGGCCCAGAAGTATGCCAGTCAAAGTCAGGGATTCGCCGCCAAGGAGCCGCGCAACAAGAACGCTCAGAAGCAGGAGAGTTGGATGGACATCATCCGATCGATCCTCGATAGCAGCGAATACAATCTGACTCCGGCTGTAAGATCCGCCTTCCAGAAGCTACAGAGCGTCGACAATGTGCCGCGCAAGAAGGCCAAGTTCGAGAACTTCGTGGGCAACTGCATGAGAATGCCCCGCCAGCAGGCCACTCAAGTGTGGGACATCCTAGAAAAGGAACTCAACAAGATGAAGGAGGCGAAACAGGCGGAGCTGGCCAGAGCAAAGGCGGAAAAGGTGGCGGCTCTACAGGAACAGCAGAAGAAGGAAGTTGAAGAGGAGGAAGCGCCGCCGAAGAAGAAATCCAAAAAGGAAGCCGTCGAGGAAGCGGCTCCCGAGGAGGCCGCCAATGGAGTCTCCAGCGAATTTGATTGGCCTGCCCAGCTAACCAAGATCGTTGGCAAGCAGGAGGAAGGCATTTTCCTGGAAAAACTACGCAAGAAGCTGCTCAAAAAGTACGCCAAGCATTTGTCCGTCGAGGATTTGAATGAAAAGCAGGCCAAGAAGTTCCAAAAACGCTTCGATAAACAACTTAAACTCGCTGACTCCCTGCAAGTAGATGGTGATTTGGTCAAGATAGCCAGCTAGCGGGTCTACTCATCCTTAGTCTTAGTTAAGTTATAGCAAAGGACAATAAAACTGTAAGCTGCAAATGACTGTGTATTTTTTACATATTTAGGACTTGTACTTTAGGTAATGGATGCACTGCTTAAGATGATTGCGGGTCTCTTCGCATTGGGCGGTTTGATGGAACCGCTTGGCGGGACAATGAAGAATCATCTCGTTGGCAACGCACTCAAGCACCAAACCGGGATACGGATGGCAGCCGTACCGGCTCAAGCGTTTGGCCAGCTGCTTGACTCCCTTGTGTGGCAAAAGGAAGAGTGCTTGGAAAGAAAACCCGCTTTCATTTAACATCGCAAATATCTCCTAATACTATTGAAATGTCTCACCATGCTTATCGCACTTGATGTAGGTGTTAAAGAGGAGGTCCACATCCGCATCGTTGACCAGATCGCTTTCCAAGTGCTCCTTTACCTCGACCAGATTTAAGGAACTGCGATCCCTGCCCAGGAATTCTGTTTTGTTGAAACTGCATTCTGTTGTGCACTGGATATAGAGTTAGTGGAGTATTTGTTTATTTTCCTGAGCTAAACTCACAAACATGTAGGCCTGCTCTTCCTCATCTGTCTCGTAGTGGATCTTCTCATGCCATTCCATCTGGCAGTCGCTGAAGTGCGGACTCTCATCATGCAGGTCGCAGCAGAAATCATGCTGCAATAAAAAGTGTAAGTCAATTTATCTATTTAAAAAGTGCACCTATTCGATATGTGCATGTTGAATTATTGCGGTTGTTTTGTATGAAAAAGGTTGAACTGAATTATACGATCACAAAACTATGTTTGACTAAAGTCTAAAGATTTAACTTTGTTGATCAATCTTCTTGTTGTTCCTTGTTCCGTTTTATTAAAGCATCATTAGACGATATCATAACTGCATCAATGTTTAAGGTATAAGATGGTAGACTCACCATTGTATCAACTGCATTTAATTCGCAATCCTCGTCAAAATCGGGTACCGTGATTCTGCCCATGGCCCACACGACCAGGAGGAGCAGAACAAATGCGTGGAGTTGTTGGAAACACATTTTCTGCAATGCCATGGCTAACCCAATCTAAAATTCAGGGCCTTTATAACTGATAATTCGCTGTGGAAGAGTAATTTTGCGTAACATTTGATGGTTTTTAATTTAGAGGCTAATTTAAGTTTTTAATTATTCCACCCAAAATTGCCCAAATCGTCTGCCCGGGTGCAGCGTCATTATGGCCATCGTCGTCGTCATTGTTCCGCTCCAGTTCCTGGAATCCACTGCAGTTCCATTAGCCCGCTGCACTCGAAGATAAATGATGAAAAGGCAAAGGCATCCATCACCGATCAAGCGGCGCATTATCCAAATATAGCAAAAATATCCAGGGCCCTAAACCACGCACTTTCCTCTGGTCGGCTGAAGATGACTGGTTGGATGTCTAGCAACTGCACGCGGAAGCAGTCCCGATACCAATTCCATTCCCACACCCATTTTGTTGCGTTCAGCTGCAACTAATTAACCGAGAAATACATCATAAATAGTCCAACTGCCGTTCCCTCATCCTCCGTCATCGGTTCCAGTTGCATCTTGGGTTCCAGCTCCTCCACCTCCTGCTCGCCAGCACCCGATCTTCATCAGTCAGGGCGCAGACGTTGCGTCGCTGCCTCAGAAGTTACCATTTGTTTATTTTCGACTCGCACACCCCGCCGATGAAAGGGAGCGGTTTGGGGCAGTGATGCCAACGACCTGTGTGGGGTTAAAAAAAATTCAAAGAGTTTTCAGGTTCCAAAAAATTGTTTAAAATATTATATAGCTAAAGAAAGGAACACGCATACACTCTATGGTAACCCCTTTTTTTTGTATTAGTCAAGAATTAAAGAATTCAATTTAAGTCGCGAATAGAAAAAATGTAATCCCTTATTGGTCAAATGCTGTTCTTATTATGTTCTTCAAAACAAATGGTTTTTGAGTGTTTTAATAAAGCTAAAGCTCACTTTATTGAGCTACTATTTAGAAAATTTTTATTTTTTTCGGTCTATTGCACTACTTAAAAAAAATAATTAATTAATAATTTATTTATTTTATTACTCAATTGTTACATTTCATAGAATATATAATATTTTAAAATAAAGATAAGAAAAAATCCATTTAAGCACCACTAGCGTGAATGTCGTGGAGTGGGGATCTGACTTGAGGGACGGGTATGGATGTGCGTGTGGACACGAATGTGTCTGTATGAAAGGTATCCGCTCCTCCATTTCTCGGCGGCGCTTCACGCTGGCATGCAATGGGGAATTTCGGGGGGCAAGAGCAGCCGAGCGGCACGTGCCCGCCTGAAGTTCAGTTCCCCAGAATTGGAACGCCTGCAGCTAACTAGCCACATCCGTGTAGCTCGGAAGCCGGGCCTAGAAAAGGGATTGCGAGATTAGAGGTTGCCATATGTTGTTTGCGCTCTATTTATTGAACCTTTAATGTGAACAATTAATTACAAATTTCACTGAAATCTTTGACTTTGAAGTCAAATCTGTGAGAAAATTAAAACCGCTGCACGCTTTAGATTTGAAATTATTTTTTTCAATGAGTGTATAAAAATTCTTTAAAAAAATTATCAAAAATAATAATTTGTTTTTGTTGTGTTTACTCACATTTTTATTTACAAAAATGACATATAAAATGACTTTAACTGTACCATAAGTTCTTATTTACGGCTATTAAAAAAATGTATTTAATCACTATTTTTACTATTTCCTGTTGTCTCCTACAGAAATCGCGACGATTTAATAATCACATTTTTCCCTGTTTAAAGTAAACGCCTAATTTTCTTCATATGATTCCGAATATATCTACATAGTTTTGTATTCTGGTTTTTCTGGATTAACTTAATCCTTTCAAAGCATGTTTAGTTCAAAATAGCAACGACTGATTATTTTATTTGGCTATAATTAAATCCTCCCTCCACAGGCCAAGTGCCCGTGCCGTGTTGATGGTAAACATCAATAAAGAGCAGTCATAATCGAACAGCATCTGTGTGTGATTGCAGTTTGTGGATCCCATTCGTGTTGTATCTCCAGCAAAACTCTCGCTTTCCGGCACTCACCCACACACACTCACACAGAAGTCCGCCCTCCGGCAGACAGCACACACAGATACTCAAGTGAAACGGGCGGATGAGCACCGAGTCGAGGAGAATCCACATCGAAGACGTCGTCGAATCAGTCGAGAATCTGTTGGCGAAGCGTGCGGTCCGATTCGGTTTTTCCTGCTCGCGTGCTCAGGAAGCAAAAGAAAAACAGAACGGCAGAAAAGCAAAAGCAGAGGAGCCGCCACTTGGAGCGACAGTTCCAAAAATCTGTCAAACTATACACGTATATCTATATATACCCGTCGAATAGATAGTGCCACAATTTTATTTATAAACCGCCTATATTTATTTTGGATCAAACTTGAGGCGAAAGCAAAAGTGTTTTAGGAATTCGGCTGTGTGTCTAGTGTGAAAATGCCTTTGGCGAAATTGTGAAATCCTCGCGTGTCAAAGTCAAATAAGCAAAGGGATATATAAGTCGCAAGAGAAACCGTACATATATCCCGCCATAATGCCGACTCTCGGCACCAAATTCCTTGCCTGCCTGCTGCTCAGCTCGGTGATCCTGGTCAGCGGTCAGTTCGAGCACTATCTGGACAGCCTGCGATCCTCCGAGTTGTACGAGTTCGCGGAGGGATCCTTGGGCAGCATCCAGTACCTTCCGAAGGGCGACAGCGAGACCATCGTGCTGCAACTGGAGCAGCCCATCAACTTCTACGGGGAGCAGTACGAGCAGCTATACGTGAGTAATAGCCCCCCTCCAACTGATATAATCCAGAGTTCAATTCGGCTACAAAGTATTGTGCACTGAATGAATTTTCGCAGCTCGCAGTGATAAGCTCGCACTGATAGGGAGCAATCAATATGCAAATAAAGTGCGGTTCAATAGTTTCTACACTAGAGTAATAGTGCTTTTCTATTTCTATTCGAGGGGAACATGCTTTGTTGTGGCCCGCGTATTTATAGGCGACATTAATTTTCGGCAAAACATGACAGGTCGGACATCGATTTCCACACTTTCCCCACACTTTGCCAGTTGTAGGTGTCTCAATATATCCGCAGCTACAATCCGCAGCCACTTGAGGGTGGTCCAAGACCAAAAAACCAAAAACCGAACCCATTGATGTCGCTTTGCCGCCTTGGCCAACTGCCAGATGCCAGAGTTCTGGGCATCCACATCCACATCCACATCCGAGTGCCCGAACACCGAGTGTCTGAGTGGTTTCGGCACTTGGCAGCCAAAGTTATGAGTTCTCCGAATTGAGAGTCCACCGCGTGTGTCGCCTATTTTTGAACGCCTTTTAATCTGCTCTGCATTTTGTTAGTTAATTAGCTGAATTTATGTGTCTGACGTAGAGAAATAGCACGCGGCACAGAATCGAAACGGTTCTTTGGACGGAATGGCCATAGAAATCCATAAATTTCACTGAAATTCCTTGACGGAATGGCCGAAAAGATCAGAGAAGCCAGAGTTGCAAAGCTCTCGGGTCAAATTGGTGTCGAAACCGTTTCGAAGGCGTAAAAATAGATCTGTCATATTCCAGTCATAAACTGCGTGTGAAAAACCCCTCATTTAAATTCACTCGAGTCCCATATTTTTATCAACTTGTCCATTGTTCCTAAAAGTTAAATTTAAAAGTAATTTCAAACGCACTTTTAAAGACAGCAATAAAGCAAAACAAAGAAGTGGTGAGGTTTTTTCTGCACATTTTTTAAAGTCTATTTTTCTTTTTGAAAATATATCTTTCAGTATCAATAATTTTGTCCAAAAGTTGTATGGCTTTTAATTTTTTATTGCAATAAATTGAGTAGTCTGTTTTATTGTTATATCAAAATGTTTTATTCAAATGTTTATAATCGTTGACCTTAGCAATTTAATACTATACACAATATTTGTTTTCTCAACAAATTTAATCTTTCCAAATCTGGAATATTTGAAATGCTTAAATTAGGCCAAGCAGGATTGAAGTGCTGTTGTTTGCTCACCCAACCTCAATTTGGCCTACATTGCGGCCTGTTATTTGTACATGTGGAGTTAGGAATCCGTTCAAATCACCTGCCAAGATGCCGGAATTCCTCGACACATTGCGTTTTCCTGCAGAGATGAGCGGAGCCCGTGGTGCCACAAAACAGACATGATTTATGCTGCGGCGTGTCGGCAACCACAAGAAAGGCATTTTCCGAACACCTGTGCTCCAATTCCGCGTTGTTTACTCAGGTTGCCAGTTGTTGTTGTTGTTATTGAATTGCTGGAGATGCAGCTAAATTTAGAGCGATCGTTAGGCGGATGTCGGCCGAGGACTCAATTAGGAATCTCAGCAGAAGATCACTTAGCATTTATGGATATATCGGGGGCGTATCCCTTCGTCGGATCATTTGCCGCCTTGTTAATGGTTTGTTGTTGTTTTATTTCCGCCAGGAGAATGCCCATTAGGAGTTAAGTGGCCCGTTGGCACTTCACGGGGCGCACCAATTTCCACGCCATATGGAGGCCAAGTATTTCCACTTCAAACGATCCCAAGTGTAACTTCCTTATTTCTCTACACCTAGAATAATTCTTGGTGGTATCTTTGAAATGTATCTTTAACACAAAATAAATTCGAAGTATTGAATTGCAAGTACTTCCACTTCAAACGATTGCAAGAGTAACTCCTGATTCTCATCCGTTTGCAAAAGTGTTCTTGGGTTTTTACAAAGGTATTAATACAAATAAAAAGACTGTTGATTATTAAATCGCAGTTTCTTTCAATTAAAATGGTCTTAAGGAAAACTTCTACCTCCCAAGCATAAACAATGCATTTCAATAAAATAAAGCATATAAAGATTTATAATAAATGTTATTTGTTATTGATTTTTTATTATTCTTTCCCCAGATCAACACCAATGGCATCCTCACGTTCAACGTGGAGTTCCCCGAGTACCTGAACCAACCCTTTCCGCTGGAGTATCCCTCGATAGCTGCCTTCTACTCGAATGTGGACACCAGCAATAGTGATGAGGGCACCTCGATCTCCTTGTTCGAGACCAGGGAACAGGAGGTCCTCGATAAAGCATCCAGCCTGGTGCGTTACGGCTTCAGCAGTCAGCCGGACTTCGAGGCCCACCAGGTGATCGTGGCCACGTGGCGCAATGTGGGCTACTTCGACTCCAAGACGGACCGCCTAAACACCTTCCAGGTGGCTCTGATCGCCGGAGAGCAAAATACCTTTGTGCAGTTCATCTATCCGGAAGGTGGACTTAATTGGCTGCAGGGCGAATCCGCAGAATTGGGACTTCCGGACATTCGTGCTCAAGCGGGATTTGTATCTGAGGATGGACGCTACTACAACTTGAATGGTTCCGGATCCGAGAATGTGAGTTTATATATTATTATTAAATAATTTATAAAAAAAATTTTAAAAAAATCAGTTGATTTTAGGAGCATGTAAAATCGTTTCCCTTTTAATGACTGAAAAGCTATTTTTTAATCGGTTGTATTATATAGGGGAGAGTGGGGCATTGTCGTCACTTTTTTTTTAATTGCGAAATTTATTGATAAAATAACTTATTTTTATCATGTAATATACATGGTTGGATTCGGAAAAGATCTGGCTATAAAATGCAGTAAGTATTTCGGACATCCTCTCATTTGTTTATTAATACGAAACTGTTATCTGAAAGAAGGCAAAATTGGAAAATTGAAAAATCGTGGGGCAAAGTCGTCACCCCCCTGGGGCAAAGTCGTCACATAGAATAATGAATGCAAATATAGGTACCCATGTACACAAAACTATTTCAACTTGTCAAACACACATTTATTGATATTCATACATATAAAAAAGTGGAACACTATATTTTTTGCAAAAATTTGACACATTCAGATCTAAGTGAAGGATAGAAAGCAAAAATCACCTGTGAGTGCGCACCATTATGCTGCAAACACAAAAAAAGAGAATTTTATTTTTGTTTGAAGAACATTTTGGAGAAATTATATTTTATATTTAATACTTTACATAAACAATCACAAAACAATAATAAATTGATACGAGTTTGTATTTCAGTCTGAGATAATACAGTGACGACTTTGCCCCACCCGTTGAGTGACGACAATGCCCCACGCGACTTTTTTTGATAAAAACATGAATAACAAATGGAAACTCGAATCAGCTGTTACACAACCTACCATCTCGTGTTCGCCAAACATTTCTCAACAATAATAACTTACCTTTATACTTCTTTGATCGAAAATGTACTTGGAAGAAAAACAGTTCTGCGCCGGAGAAAAATTACTTTTGAGGCTCCGAAACACTTTCTGATGAATAAATAATTATACATAACCTTTAATTCTACCAAACTCCGTCTGTAATGTAGGAATAGTGCAATACACTTACGCTAAAAAAATTGGGTTGGTAGCCCTTATATTTTTTAAAATAATAGCGAGTGACGTCTTTGCCCCACTGACGACATTACCCCACTCTCCCCTATAATTTCCGAATTGTGAAACCAAGGCAGCGAGAATCGGGTATCGTTTCTAAATAGTTAATATCTCATTTCGTGGGTAGAAATTTTAAGGTTAATTAAACCGTATTCGAGTATAGTTGATTTAAAAAATCTGTGTAAATCTGGTTACGTTTTGAGTTTAGAATAAAAGTTAGACAAACAAAACCTTTATGGTCTTTTAAAAATCGTTCAGCTTAAATCGTTTAGGTTATATGAGTTCTTAAAGCGTAAAAATTAGCATATAATCAAAGTCAATATTAAAAGATGTATATTTTATAGAATTAAATATTAAAATATACCTTCTTTCCATTTCAAGGCTCGTTTCCTGAGCGAGAGCACCAACCTGGGTGTTCCCGGAGTCTGGCTGTTCGAGGTGGCTCCTATCGAGCCAGAGCAGAACGTGATGCTACCCGACAACGAGGAATCCCGCACAGAGTCGCCCGCGTTGGCCCAAAGCTGCCAGGCGCATGCGCACCAGTGCCACCAGAATGCTCAGTGCCACGACAAAGCCGAAGGATACTGCTGCGTCTGCGAGCAGGGATTCTATGGCAACGGCAAGTCCTGCCTGGCCAACGATCAGCCGATCCGCGTGTCGGGAACGCTTTCCGGTGAGCTGAACCACCAACCCGTTAACGAGGAGGCCAAACTGCAGTCGTATGTGGTGACCAGCGAGGGTCGCACCTACACCACCATCAACCCGTTGACCGCCGAGCAGGGTGCTCCACTCCGATTGGCCCTTCCCCTGCTGACCACCGTGCCCTGGTTGTTCGCCAAGTCGGTGGGCGGAGTGCCCAATGGCTACCAACTGACTGGCGGCGTCTACACCCACGTCTCCCGCCTGCAGTTCGACTCCGGTGAGAGTCTCCTTGTGAACCAGACCTTCGAGGGTCTCAACTTCTGGGACCAGCTGTCCGTGAAGATCGAGATTTACGGCGAGGTGCCAGAGGTTCCGGCCGAGGCGGTCCTCCATCTGCCGGAGTACGTGGAGCAGTACACCTTCGAGCGACCGGGAGAACTGAAGTCCGTGCAGGTGCACAAGCTGGAGATCACGGCGGAGCAGCGAGTCCTGGGACTTCAGGTGAGCTAAGATCTTAACCATCAAGCTATTACAGGGGCGGACGCAGAAAAAATTTTGGGGGGGGTCCGATCGAAAATTTTTGTTGTTTGGGGGTCCGATCACAAATTTTTACGTTTGGGGGGTCCGATCAAAAAATTTGTTCCTTTGGGGGGTCCGACCAAAAAAAATTTTAGTTATTATGGTTGAAAAGCCGTGTGCTGTAAGGAAATTTGAAAAAATCTGAGATTTTGGGGGGTCCGGACCCCCCGGACACCCCCTGCGTCCGCCCCTGAGCTATTAATAAGATGTATACCTATGGTCAGAAGTTTGTAACCTTATAAAAGAAACATTTCCGATCCTAAGTGTTAATTTTATTGATCACACGTTAAACATATGTCCGCCTATGCATCCGCTTCTATGTTTTTTCTATTTTAGTTAAATAATTATTTGTTTAAAACATTCCCAATCAAATCTGCAGTTTAGATTTATATTTTCCTTATTCCTTACAATTTAAGGTGGAGCAACGTATCCTGTACCGCAGCTGCCTGCGAGATGACGAGGCGGATCCGAGTGCCACACAGGTGCTGCAGAAGATCTCGAAGGTGGCCCTGGACTACGTGGACCGCGACCAGGCGCTCCGCATTGGAGCAATGAGCAAGGTGGGCGTGACCGCCGAGACGAATTCCTGCAACGATGGAACCGCCGAGTGCGTGGAGAACTCCGTGTGCGTTCCCTACGAGGACACCTACCGGTGCGACTGTCTCCACGGATTCGCCGCCCAGTTGGATGAGCGTGGTGTGGAGGTTTGCCTGGACATCGATGAGTGCGCTGCGGGAACCCATGTCTGCGATGAGAATGCCATTTGCGACAACACGGAGGGCGGCTTCAACTGCTACTGCTCCCAGGGATTCGAGGGCAACGGCTACCGCTGCCTGTCCAACAGCACCGCCGACAACATTGAGTACCCACCACAGGGTCATGATCATGAGGAGTCCACTGCCGATCCCAATTCAAGCACTCCAGGGAACCAGGATCAGGATCAGGAGAGGGATCTCGAGCGGGAAAGGGAAGAGGAACGGCGAAGGGAGGAAGAACAGCGAAGGGAGGAGGAACGGCGAAGGCAAGAGGAACGTGAAAGGGAGCAGTATCCCCATCCGGATCCAAATTCTGAGGACCAGGTGCCCCAACACCCCGACGAGTGCTACGTAAGTGAAGCAATAAGTTACACTTTTTTATTCAAGTATAAAGGGAACTATAGTATACCTTTTTAATAGAAAACTTTTAGAAGTTCAAATGTTTGGATTCTAGACCTATGTTTTACAATAGAAGTTTTTTGTTTATTTAAAGTTTTTTTAGATCATACAGATTTAGGCTTAAAATTGTTTATACAGATTCTTTTAAAGTCTAAGGTCATGTTTTTACCATCAAATTTAACCATTTTACAATATCATAATACAGCGCTGCTCGAAGGACGCCGACTGCTACAAGGGTCGCTGCACCTGCCACGAAGGATTCGAAGGAGACGGCTACAGTTGCTCCAACATTTGCGTGCATGGCGAAGTTTGGGAGAACGGACGCTGCGAGCCCCTTCTGCTGGACAGGCACGATGTGGAGCCAGTCTGCGATGCCCTGGGAGAATGCAGATGCCCCTATGGATATGTTCTTGCCGAGGACTACATGCGCTGCACCTTCAATCAGGAATATGATAGCGAAAGGAACTCCGATCTTAGTAAGAGTGCTAAAATATAATAATAAATATATAAATTGTAATAATCGATCTCTTTTATAGTTCCCTGCGATGTGGACGAGAACTGCCACATAAATGCCACCTGCAACTGGTATGAACAGGAACTGCGCCACATTTGCACCTGCAAACCAGGATTCCGAGGCGACGGCTACTCCTGCGAGTCCACCAGCGATGATTCCTGTGATGTTGTGAGTTAATAAAATGAGATTGTAAACCAAGGAAAACCCTAAGAAGGCATCTCCCCTTTTGAATTCAGGTAGACATCTGTGATGTCCATGCTTCGTGCGTCTTCGTCGACGGAGTGAAACCGGAGTGCCAGTGCCAACAGGGCTACACAGGAGATGGCTTCCGTTGCCAGTTGGCCGCCGAGTGCCAGTCCAACGAGGACTGCGGCAAGAATTCCCTCTGCCATGAGGGCGTCTGCCGCTGCCAGGCGGACTTCGAGCGGGACATCAACGACCGCTGCGTTCCGGCGGGACAGTGTGGGACGGTCTTCTGCGGACCGAACGCCTTCTGCCGCTGGGATTCGGTGCAGAGCGTCCAGTTCTGCGACTGCCTCGAGGGATACCAGGGGGACGCTCTGAAGGGATGCACCAGCAAGCCCTTGTCCTGCCACGTCCTCAACAACTGCGGCATCCACGCCACCTGCGAGCCAACAGAGTGAGTACTAAGTAATTCAATTAAAGAACGCTTAGACAGCATTTGGTATCCAGCCAAAATAGGTTGCAAACTATTCTGTAAAGAAGGCATTAATCAATATGTAATAATATTAAATATTTAGCTGACAAAAATAATCATAAATCAAGATCAACATTTTAGAAAACCAATTTGCAATTATTTCTAGCAATAATTTACCAAAGTGCAATTGTACAAACTTTCTAAAATAACCTATATGTATTTAAAAAATAATGAACAGTTCTTAAGAAATTATTATCAATTTATATTGACTTCTCAATAAATAAATTCTATTTAAAAACTTCGCAAAAATTATTTAAAATAGTAAATTGATATATATTTCCGCTTTTATTTTCTTTTTTCAGAGACCCAGCTAATTATGAATGTCAGTGCATTGCTGGCTTCAACGGCGATGGATACGTTTGCATCGAGGAGCAGAACTGCCTGAACAACCACACACTGTGCGACTTGAACGCCCAATGCCATTCAACCAACTCCGGATTGGTCTGCGTCTGCAATCCAGGTGAGTTGCGTTCCAAATCCATGGGATGTCTGCTACTTCTGTTGGTTTCACTGGGGCCGAGTGGTCCGCTCTTCAAGACCACTCCGCTGTTGTTCGCAAGGAGCGCAGGAGTTGAAGAAAACGAACCCGAAAATGGACAGAGCCAAAACCACGTTGAAGTAGCCATTGTTGCGGTCCCAAGTCAGTGGATGCATGAAGAACTCCCTCATGGACTGAAAGTGCGTAGGACGCTTGAGTGGGTCTTCAGGTTTCTTGGGGGTAAAATTTTGCTGGTTGAAGGAGCGCAGGTTTTGGCTTTGTTTCCGCTTTAATTCGCCGAACGGCCGCCATATTTTGGTCAGCAACTTCTGGGTGTTATGCATGCCTTGTTGGAATATCCGGCTAAAGTTCTTGGTTTTTCTGTGCTATAAAGTAGAACTTACCGGTAGATTTAATGGGAAACTGGAAATTTAGAGGAAAAATAATAAATTTACACAAACAAAAGGCCTGCGAAAGACAGTTACAACTGGGTAAACTGCGATCGGTATAACAACATTCAATTATTATTTTATTTTTCAAATTGCGAGAGATTTGTAATATAAAACCAAAAAGGAAGCTTATAGCAATAGCTGGTTGATAACGCTGACTTTATGAACATTATTTATTTCCCTATTTCAGGCTTTTATGGCAACGGATTTACATGCCAGGAGCGCCAGCAGCAGGACTCTGATTTCCTGATCGTCAGCCAGGGCGTGATGATTGCTCGAGTTCCCCTGAATGGACGCAATGTGAGACCCATTTCGGTGGCCCAGATGGCCATTGGCTTGGACAAGGATTGTGTGGAGGGTCGTGTCTACTGGGGCGATATTTCTACCAAGAAAATCGTTAGCGCCAAGTACGATGGAACCGATTCTCGTCCCTTTATTACCACAGGTAGTTTAAAGACTTTTAAATCCATAAATCAACATCTTAACACTCTATTTTGCTATTCTTAGATATCGAATCTCCTGAGGGCATTGCCATTGATGTGATCTCGCGCCGTCTTTATTGGACAGATTCGGCCAAGGACACCATTGAGGTGGCCAGTTTGGACGATCCTTCTTTGAGGGCTGTGATCATCAATAAGCAGCTGGTGAACCCACGTGGCATTGCAGTGGATCCTTACAGGGAGTAAGTATCCGTTTCCTATAACAAAATACGTTTTAAAAAAATTATAGCCAAATTTAAACAAATATTTTATATTACCCCAATATAAACCCTCATAGGATTTTGTATCCAATTATTAACATGCTCTTTTACCTTTAATAGGAAGCTTTACTGGTCCGATTGGGACCGCTCTTCGCCCAAGATTGAGGTGTCCAACTTGGATGGAACTGGTCGTGAGCTTCTTTTGGGCCAGGATGCGGTTACCCTGCCCAATTCCCTGGTGGTCCTCGAGAGCACTGGTGAGGTGTGCTACGCGGATGCGGGAACCAAGAAGGTGGAATGCATCGATGCCCAGAGTCGCCAGATCCGCACCATTTCCAACGAGCTGTCCTATCCCTTCGGCATCACCTACACGCACGATCAGTTCTACTGGACGGACTGGACCACGTAAGTTAAGAGTTTTCTTCTATAACAGATCTTGCTAATAAGAAGATATACTTATAGTAAAAAAGTGGAGATCGTGGACAGCTTGGGCACGCGGCAGAAGGCCATTCAGCCGCCCTTCTTCGGCAGCCACAAGATGTACGGAATGACGGTGGTGGAGCAGCACTGTCCGCAGTACCAGAGTGCCTGCCAAATCAACAACGGTGGCTGCACGGACAACCGGATCTGCCTGGTCAACCGACTGGCTCCCTCCGGAAAGAGCTGCAAGTGCACCAGTGCCTCCACCGGATGCAGTGTGCCAGCGCCCTTCCCCGGCTACTAAATTTACTATTAACTCAAGCCGAAGTTATTTTTCGATACGTATACAAGCACACACCCACAAAGCAATTTAACCAAAGCGCGTAAAAGAATCGAAGTAAACTAAACTAAACTAAATTTAATTAACTAACTAGGAGTGCCGGTGTGCCATTTTATGTAAAGCTACTCAACGAAGAATATTTAATAAAGAAAAACAAGCCTTACAAAAGAGTTTATTTATTGATTAATTAAAAGAAAACTTACTAAGATCAAAAATATTAATCCTAATAAATTAAAGAAATGTTTAGTATGTTCATATTGATTGAATAATTTATTTTAATTGTCATTAATTTAGAAATTATACTATTTGGGAAAAAAGTGGAAAGAGATCATTTTAATGGTTTAAATTGTTATTCATTTTCTTACCTTTGAGTGATCTTAATTTTATTTATACAAAAAACTTCCATTTAATAATTTCCAACTATAGTTTGAGTTTATTGTGAGTTCTGTTCGGCATGCCTTAAAGAGCACGGATCCGATAAATATTACAGCAAGTTTATACCCTAGTCCACACTAAATGTACGAGTACCTCTAATGCTGCAGCCAATGCCAGTTGCGGTTTGGTATGGTAATCTACTTTTGTACATTGAGACATCGATTCGATCTATGTGGTAGACGCAGATATACAGATACATAGGTATACAGATCTATATAAATAGGTTTCCGGGGTGCTGGGCAAAAGCTTAACTAGGTATTCTTTTCGAGACACTGGAATGCATTTCATCGTCGTCGTTGACTAAAATTCCCTTATAAAACTGCTTTAAGTGCGTTTAACTAACGTTTTTAGGTGAGTGTGAATGTTGGTATGTGGTTGTGGTTGTGTAGGTACATTGTTTGCTTGGCTACTTCCTATAGAGTCTATAGTCTATAGCTGGGATCGAATTGAGTTAATAGGACGTGGGTTGCGTTATGCTACTGGGTTGTGTTAGCTCATTGAATTTGGTACAGTTGCCGATTCGACACTCGATCCTCGGTCAGAACTAGCCTTAATTAGTTAACTATAAACTATGTCCTAGATTCTGTTGTCTTTCGATTTAAGTTTTCTCATTAGGTTCTAGTAGTTTGTTTCGTTTTGTTTTTTGTTTTACTTGAATGCATGGTTGGTTCTTACTTAAGTAGTCTATGTACAAATTCTTTGATTTATTTTAACATATATGTATACATATTTCTGTTGATTTTGTAAAGCATTAGAGTATACCAAAGCCCGTTCCAATTTATGTTATGAAAACCTTTTCACTTTCTTGGTTTTTTGTTTCTCCTCCCTCCTCATCATCTTCCTTTTTTCCTACAATTGTGTAAAACATTTCTAGTGGTTGATCTGAGTTTGTGTGTGAGTGTGTATAGTACAAGACATCGATAGCACCTTCATATATGATCTATATGGGGGTTTCGTGGGTCACAGGGGAAGGTCCTTCCGAGCGAAGGGGAAGCTGAGCCGAGCTAAAAGCCCAGCCAAGTGGTCATACCTAAGGTATTTACAGGGGTTTAAGCGTTTAGGCCCGATCTATTTGATAGTTTGCTACGTCCGGCTCCTCGGATCGAATTTGCTTACATCTAGCCTTCATCGGATATATACAGCTTCAGTTATACAGTTTGCTAAATCTTCGTCCTGCCACCTAACCAATAGTTTAACTACATCTGTTGTTCCCAAAACACAATTTGCCGCGGCTTTCTTTTGTGCAAAGCCGACATAATCAAAGCTTAAAACTAATTGCAAAACTTGCAATGTACAATATATTTATATATATCTACGATCCCTAGGGATAAACCGATAAGCACGCGCCTCCATCTAGTGAACTACTAACTAAACTGGGACTCGAATTGGTTTAAGTTGGGGGAACACACACCACAGACAGCCTTTTTTTTGGGGTGGGTGGGTTTTTTGGTTGTTCTCGGTTGTTGTTTGGTTGAGGCTCCTAATACTTTCGCTCCGGATCGAACTTATCTCTACGGGTGTGTCTGTGTGTGCCGGCCGTGTTCTATATCCACTTGTTTTTCGACATGGAGGAGCGGAGTCGGCGCCCCCACATCAGGTTGTATCATACGATCGTTCCCTGCAGATGCTGCGGAGAGTTGACCTGCGACGAGGACTGCTGGCCGAGGGAGTCCTGTGCCTGCAGCGAGCCACTGGCTCCGGAGGAGGTGCTGGGTCCTGGTCCCAAGTCCGCCGTGTTGATGGCCAGCGAGGAGCTGGCTCCCAGCATGCCGCCGGTGGAGGAACCCGCTCCAGAGGGATTGATGCCACCACCACCGCCGCCACCAACCACGCAGGGAACACCCAACATGGGTGTGGGTTCCTCGGGCGGGGTAACCTGCAAGGATATTTGGTTCTACCAGAAAGAGTTAATCCCCTGAAGGAAGCCACTGAATATCTGATGAACCCACCTCCATTCCTATGCTGCCATTGAGAGAGATCTTAATGGGATTACTATGGTTCGTGGCCTGCATCAATGTGGTGAAGTGACTTATGCCGATCTCCTCCAGCGACGACTTTCTCCGGCCGTGGCTGACGCCCACGCTGGGAAGGCCCTGTCGCAGGGACGAGGATCGACGCAGCAGGATATCGTTGTCGATCTAAAATAGAAGCAAGCACAGGGAACATCCACCAATGAAGGCGATCATTAGTCGGGTTAGTTGGCCCAAAACCGAGTCACTATGATACCAACAAAACTCAATTACGTTTACACATACAAATTGGCTATTTTTGCAGTTAAAGTTAGGTTAACTTTTTAGTTACATTTAAATTGTAAAAAAGAAACGAACACATTAAGAAGAAACACATGAACTTTAACTCGAAATGCGACTCGATGGTTGAATATTATCTTTATCTTATTTAGGCACTTGGATGAAAAGTGGTTTTTATTTCATGAGTTCCTTGCTTTTAGTGATTATCCTCTGGGTGCGAACTATGACTATGATTTATTGCTGTTGTCGATTGTTGCAGTTGTTCTTGCGGTTGCTGCTGTTGGTTGTTGCAGTTGCAGTTGCAGTGGCTGCCGTGCTGTTTGGTGGAGTGTTCTGCGGCTTGAGTTTGGAACGTGTTCCCAGAATTTTAATGCTCAGTGTGGGAGTGCAAGTGCCTGGCCCCCAACAAAAGGGGTCAAGGCAACACGGGGTGAACACATTCGTTTGTTTTAGCCAATTTGTTTGGAAATTAACAATAAAACCAAGCTAAGACTAAGGTGTTAAGGAAGTTAGTAGTGTTAATTAACTCTTCGATGGCGTTTATGCTGCATTTAAATAATTTTGAAGGGTTTTGAAAGGTTCGAGGCAGCATTAAACTCCATCAAAGGTTTTCAATTAAGAGTTATTGGAGTTTGCCAACAAAAATCGAACAAACCAACGTGAAAACGTGAATCGAATCAAACCAAACAAACAAACAAACATAGAGAGGTAAATAGAGGTTGTGTGTGTGGTTTTTGGGGGTCGTGTGGGTGTAATAGGAATAATAGCCAACCCGCAATGAGTTACTCCGTCCGCGCTGATTGCCAACCACCGTCGGACTGTCGGGTAGAGAAAGAGAATTCGATTTAATTTGCTGCATCGGGGGGCTACAGCGCTGCGAGGATGATCCATACCCGGCCAAGGTCTGGACGCTCTGCATCTGCATCGGGTTCAAGCCGGCGATGCCCGATCCCCGGCGCGATCCAGCCCCGACGGCGGTGTTGGCCATGTTCATGTTCAGGTTCATCTGCGGCATCTGGGGGCCGCACGTGGCGCCCAAGTTGATGTTCGAGCAGAACGATATGTTCGACTTGCGGCGCGAGTTGTGCCGCTCGAACGTCTTTTGCGCCGAGAACGGCGACGGCCTCACCAAGTATCTAAGTAGGAGAGAAAACAATTTAACAAAGCCTTAAGAAAATCTGTATCCTATATTGGAATATATTAAATGCAGATATTAAAATAGCAGGTACATTAGATACAGTCAAGATAAACAAACTGACTTTATTAACATATTTATGCCCATTTATGTACGTTTTTTTACTCGGGTGTTTCCACAAATAAAATATTTAAGATACATAAAACTGCCAAAAATATAATTGAACAAGTGATAGAAAGTCAAAGTACTTAATTTGGAACATATTCGTAAAGACTGAATTTTTAGACAAGAAAAGACCCTTTGGAGAGAATCTTTTACCAAGAGATAAATAAGCCGCCTTTCTGTTAAACAATTCAAACTTGGTAATGCCTAATAATTTAATTTTTCTAAGTTTTCAATTTCAATCGCCTCGATACTCACATGAGATCGCCCTCCTCCAGTTTGAGATCACAGCTCGGGTTGATTATCACATAGGAGAGGTGGTTCCGCTTCTCGCTGACGTCGTCGTAGTCGATGGTGGGCAGATTGAGGGACTCCATCCGACTCCTCACGAGGTTCGCGATCTCGGCTCGCTCAATTTGCTGGGCGTGGTTGTCCCTCGCCTCGTCGGCCAGATTGATGGAATACTAGAAGAGTTTGGCACTTTCACAACACAATATCTTGGGGTACACAAAAAACATCAAGTAACAAGCCAGTTGGGGTTTTACTTCCATTCAATTATTATAATTGTATTTAGATTTACTATAATTAAGTAAATACCCAACTTGGCCCGTTCCACATAAAGCTAGCTGATCCTGAGTGAGTGTTGTTGTTGTGCTGAAATGCAGACGGATGGACGGTGAGTTTTTTCGCTGACCGATGGGCTTCATCGTCGCTTGCTCGTTTTGTTTAGTTGTTTTAGTTGCAGTGTGTCATGCTACCATACAAAGAACGTCATGCTGCAAAAGCCGGAATGGAATCGAGACGGACCTACCTGGGGACCCGAACTTAACCCAATACCTTTGACCCTTGACCCCGTTTACCATTTACGCCCCATTTTTCGAACCACTGGTGTGAAATGGGAAATGCTTTCGGGTGTCGAGTTGCTGGCTACTTACGGATGATCCCTTGCGCTCCGAACAACCGCCGAGGCAATTGACGGACCGCTGGCGCTGCGTCTGCGGGCGGAAGCTGCTGGCGCCACCTGTTGCCGACCCCGGCGGGCGGTAGGTGACCCCGCGCAGCATTTCCGTCGAGTCCTTCGTCGAGTCGGGCGTGCCGGTCTCCTCGTCGTACTGTGGTTAGGCATGCCCATGATTTGTTTGGTTTGGTGTATGCAAATTCGAGTTCGATGAGTTCGGTTAAACACAAAATGATTTACATATTTAATTGGTTTTTAATTGAAATGGCAAATTGCTTTCACTGCTCTCGGTGTTCGAGTATGCATGTAGTATCTATGTACGAGTATGTGTATGGTGGCATGGTGGTTGAGTTGAGTTGTGGCCTTAGCAAAATTGTTAACATTTAGGTTGTTTAGGCATGCCGTGAAAGGGGGGAAACTCGCAACAGTCCGTTTCCCCTCCTCCGCTAACGGTGAAATTATAGAAATTTAATTGGGGGAACTCAAAAAACACCCGAGTTATTGATTTAAGAAGCCGGAAAGCAAAAGTTTCTCAACCGAAAACGATAAAAAAAATCTCTAGAAAAGAAGGTGCTGGGCAAGCATTAGGCGGTTGTACTTCAACTGGGGAAAAAAGGGAAAGGCAAAGTTTCGACTGACGGGGGAGTACTTTTTCGTCTACTTTCCAAGGTTGCTCTAGTCTAATTAAATTAATTTCGTGTTTCATGTTTGCCAATTAACCCAAAGACGTTCTCCCTTCGTTCGCGCGGCCGACTCTTATTGATTTTCAAATCGAGCAAGCATTTTTAATGAGCAACCAGCGAGCGCCTCGCCGAAGGGACACTAACTTTGAGTAATTGGGTGAGTTTCTGCAAGCCAGACGAAGGGGTTTAGTGAAAGCCGCAGCTGCAAGGCCTCGCACAATAAGAAGCTAAATGCAATCAGCTAATTAAAAGGCGGCATGCAAACAGCAACGGAAACGGAAACAGAATTAGAAACTCAAACTGAAACTGAAACAAAACCGAAACAGAAACCGAAACGAAATTAAAGCCGGGAAAGCCAAACATGCAGCAGCCAACAGGTCACGCAAAAAGGAGCAAAAGGAGCCGGAATGGAGCTACCACTACCCACTCCCAAAAGGACAACAACTACGACTAGACTACACACAGTTACACACAACGATTTGGAGGCCAGGCTAATGGGGCAGGCAAATGATGTTTGTATGAAGAGTGTGTCTGGTATTTTCGGTATTTCATGGGTATTTTTGTTTTGTTCTTTTTTTTCGCATTTTTTGTTTTTCTTTTTTTTGTTTTTTTTTCTTTTTGCTTCGGGGAACTCACTGCGTGCGTGTGCGTCAGGTCCAATACAAACGCAAATCAATTGTTCAATTGGTACATCGGGGCGTATGTGTAATTTGTATGATTAGTTTGCTAATTTCATTGACCTGATCTAAGATATAATATGTAGGCTCACAGAACGCCAGCTAATGGTTCGTCTGTCTGATCTGATTTCCTATCGGATGATGAATGCTGTGACGGCAAAAGAAATCGAATTCAAAAACGAAACGGGAATGGTAATCTTGCAGCTCGATTGCAGCAAGGTCGGAGCTACTGGAAAAGTAAACAAAATTAGGGGGGCAATCTGAACCGGGAGTGGGAGTCGTAATCGGAATCAGAATCAGCACGCTATGCTTTATATACACGAATATTAATATTCTGGAACGGAGGAATTTACTTTAAACAGGGAGCAAATCGCTGCTAATGGCGTTTATAAAGCTTATATATAAGACAAGTCTAAACCATTTGGACCGTTTACTGATACAAGTTAGAAAGGCTTATATATACTTGGATATATTTATATATATTCAGATAGAGAGAGAGAAATAGCGAGAGAGGGATATGCACTTAACGATATTGGAGGTAAATATGCAAACTTCGTATGATGAACAGACTTCAGACTCAATGCAGTTAGTAGTAGTAAAGCGTAAGCGTGTGATTGTTAAAACAAAAGTTAAAACGAGGAGATAGTCAAACCAAAAACCAAACCAAAACCAAAGGAACTTCGATTAGGCCTCGTCTTCATCTGGGGTAACTCAATTACGTAATTGGCAACTGAAGTCAAAAAAATTATCGTTTTCTGGTTGCTTTAGTTTGTTTTGTTTTTTTTCGCTGTGTTTCGGTGTGTGTACCTAATCGCAGCTCGAGATACGAAATATTGTGAGCAAAGACAAGTAAAAGGCTATAGTTAGAGTAGAGCTAGGAAGATAGAGTTAGACATAGAGAAACAGAGAGATATAGTCAGGCTATAGTGAGTGGGCGAGCGATTGATTGATTGGTTGGTTGTTTGAGTGAGCGTGTTAGTTGGGTTAGAAGTACATAGATGTCCTGCCAAATTGGTGGATTCCTGAAGCTTGTTTGTTTTGGTTTCTTTGATCTTGAGATTCGAGTTTCGAGATTGGAGATTTGACGCTTTGCCTTGGACTCACCGATGGACGCAACCGCACACAATGCCTGCTGAAGGCCGAGAAGGGTCCCCATCGCTCGACCGGCGAGTTACTCACATGAGACGTGTCCGCATTCGAGGTGTCCTGCGTGCGGTAAATGCCGATTGGTATTTCGCAGGTCGTCGAGCAGAGCTTCTGGTACAGTCGCCCATACGTGCGTATCCACATGTCGTCCTTGGTGATGCGCATCTGCAAGGGATTACTCGGTTTCATCCAGACTTGCTCCTTTCCTCGTCCCTCCAATGATATTCACTTACCGAGGTGAGGAAGCCACTGCCCGGCGCCTGGTCAATTCCGAGGAGCAGACGCACAAAGGTAATCACATAGTCCTTCACAAAGGCCTGGTACAACAGGGTGTCCAGCATGGAGGCACTGAACACCGCTCCCGCGGCGAAGGGCAACCGGAACATGTACGAGATGTGCGACCCGCGCTCCTTCTCGCGCTGCAATTAAGTGAGCGGCAAATTAACCAAATGTCGCCTGAGTGGCCGGGTTAGGAGCCCGCGCTCTACCGACCTTCTCCATCTTGCTCAGGTGCAGGGCGTACTTGTCGTGGGCCCGGAACTGCATGAACCTCATGTTGGAACTTTGGGAGAGCTCCGTGATGCTCTTGATGCTGGGAAAGAATCTGAAAGGATATGGGATAATAGGTTGAATGGATATCTTTGAAGTTTTAGTATGTTTATACCCTTGCAAAAGAGATTTACTCACTTGAACATATTCTGCACAGCCACAATGGTGTTACAATCGGAAAGGGAGTCCTCCTCTGCCGAATTGGAGAGCTCTTTGTTGACCACCACCACACTTTCGGCCAACGTGATGCCAGCTCTCAAAAGGTCATCCAGGCAATCAATAGAGCCCAGCATCCAGTACACCTAACCCCCAAATTAATCAGTAATCCCATAAGTATACATTAAGTAATCAACCCACCAATGGAAAGTAGGAAAGGGCATCCAGGAAAGCCACGTCTGGTCGTCGCTCCAGGAGCAGGATGATGGGGTTCAGCGAGGTCTTCGACCGAAAGTGAGCCCTCAGCGGGATGATGAAGTTGTAGATGCCGTTGGAGGCGTAGTCCGCTGCCAGGATAATCGTCTTGTTCTGCCACTGGTACTCCTTGGCATTCCGATAGCTGCAGTGTTCGCAGACCTGTTTTTCGAGAGTCGGGTTGCGGGTAATGAAATGGCCTGGCTGGAATGCCATGTGCAGAACGTCTCACCTGAGCCAGCTGCAGACAGCAGAGGGGCTTCTTCTCCTTGAGCAGGTAACAAAGTGTGGGACTCACTCCTATAAAAGGTGACACCGGCGGAAAACCCTTGACGATGCTGCAAAGGCATAGAGCTCTTGGTTAGACGTGTGCTTTCCCGGCGGACAAGGCGATGGGCTGCAGGTTGTCCGGATGGGTGAAGGGTGATGTGTGTGCGAGTGGGGAAAGCAAGCAGATTGTGCTGGGATTCAAACGATTTAGCTACGATAAAGGAAGAGGGAAATTGTGTGGGAAACTGGGGAAACTGAGGAAACGGGAAAAATGCAAACTACGAGCAGATCTAAAGCATTCACACTACGAATTAACAGAACGGTGAGAAACTTAAAGTGTGATTTCCCGAGGCCCTGCAGTCCTGCAATCCAGTCCACCTACAATCACTGCGGATGAAGGCAACGTTTGGCTGCCCTTGGAAATGAATACACACAATTGAAGCCGAAAAGCAAAACAAAGCCAAGGAGCAAGCAGAAGCGAATGCAGATGAGATGCAGCTCGGCACCAGATGACGGAATCTCGAGTTGTTGCTCAGTTGGTCCAAGGTAAACGGTGGCTGTGGTGGCGACTACCTCGTCGTCGTCATCATTAAAAGATGTCCTGCGGCAGGCAAACAAAAGCAACAACGAACGAACGAGCGAGCGAGAGAACGAAGGAACAAACGAACAGCAACAACAACGAGACAAGAACTCTTCAACAAATGGCGTGTGTCCGCAGAATGTCCTTGCCGTCCCATCCCATCCCATGCCCCACTTGTTACCCCTCCCCTCCTCAGACTTACCAGGAGTAGTCGTAGACCCAAACCGGACGCACCGGTCGACGTGTCTCTACGGAACTGCTCGACGTGAATGCAGTTGCCCCACTTCCTGCCACCGCCGCTGTTGTTGTTGCTGCTGCTGCTGCTGCTGCGGTTGTTGTCGTGGTGGTGGAGCAACTGCAGGAGCAGCACCTTTGCAGCTGCCTCCGGCGAGCCGCCAACCTGGCCAGGGCTCCTCCACCCAGACCCAGACCCATTCCCACTCCCATTCCGGTTGCCATTCCGGGAACCGAGCGACACTCGCTGTCGCAGCTGAAGCTCTTCTTCATGACGCGCCTGCGCAACTGCGGCAGATGCTCCTCGGATGGCAGGGCGGTGGCAAGATCCACGGAGTCCGCATTCGTGGCGGAGTCACCAGGGGAATCTCCGAGGTATTGAGGAGCAGCAGCAGCAACAGCAGCAGCGGAAGCAGAAGCGTAACCGGAACCGGAAGCGGAAGCCGAGGCTGTGGCGGTGGCATTGCAGAAGCTGCAGCCGCGCTGATACGAGTCCTCCGAGGAGCTCATGATGAGCGAATAGGTGCGCGATTGCGGAAAGTGCCCGCCCAAGCAGCTGAGGCAGAGTGTTCGATTTTCGTTTAGTTCGGTGTGTTTTCATAGGATCGGTGGTTACAATTAGGGGAATGTGATGTGTGTCTAGTGCTTAAGTACAACATATAAAGTTTACATACAGCTAGGACTCTCAATCCAAAGCGATCCATTAAATTTTATATAGAAATACCAAAAAATTTTAGAACAATATAAATGTGATAAATCATTGCTAATTGTTCTAAATCGGAAAGTAATTGCTTTTAACATTGGAGAATTATTTAAAATACTTAAATGCTGTGAAAAAGAGTAGTAATCTCGAAATTTTCAAGCAATAAATATTGTAGCATTAGCAAGTATTAAAAATGATTAACTTTGAAACTTTCACGATAAAGCAAAAAATCTCGTAGAATCTGGAAATATCAAAAACTATATTTATAGCATTATGCTTCTTAAAAAAATAGTTGTTTTTCAAGAAGTTCGATCGCTTTGGATTTTCAAGCTCAGTCTAGCATGGTCTATGTACACAGATTTATGTTCGGGGTTAGTTTCTCTCGGAACATTTCAGCTAAGAAGTATAGTTAGTGATACATATAGGTGGTACAATCGGGCGGGGTGTTAAAAGTTATGTCGACAGAGACTCTACTCTAGGAAGGAGGGATTTCAGTGCCTCGGAAAAGTGACTAAAACGGGAACTTTCAGGAGGCCATTAAAGGGGCGATACTTACGCAATCTTCTCGGACGGCGAACGCCAGGGCATCTCGTCGTCGATCTCATCGTCACTCTCGTCCCCCTCCTCGCCATCGTCATTGCCGGCGATGCTGAACGAGGAGGAGGTGAACATATCGGGCACGGGCAGGATCGAAGGACGTCTACTGCCTAAATCAAATTATTTTTATAATTTATTAATGTAACATTTTATAATAAAAAGAATATATTTATTAAATGAAGAATCCAATATCAACCAAAGGTACGATTTTAATTTTAATTTAGTTTGGATAAATTGTGTTATGTTTTTAAATAGATTATCTTATAAAATTGTTGTAAATTTTAATATCACTGGCTTGCCTACCACTTTAGTTTCGAGCTCATATAAAATGTATTTATACACTCCTGCTTAACTTACCCCTCCGCTGGTTGAGCACATCCGGACTGAGCAGGTTGGGGTTGTTAGCGAAGGGCACGTCCAGGTGGTTGCCCGTGGTGGTCAGCGTGGCGGGGGTGATGCTCAGCGAGGTGCCCATGCTGTGGGCACTCCCCAGTCCAAGGCCACCGCCCCCCGATCCGCCGGCCATGCTGGGGGATCCCATTTGCGGGGGCGGGGGCAAGGTGGTCGTGGTTATCGTCGCCGCCGTCTGGGTCACCGTCGTGTCCTTGAGGTTCTGCCGGGAGTCCGAGATTATCACAGCCGTCGGATTATCGCTGGCTGAATTTTGGGAGTTGGGAGAGCGAAAAGCGCAATTAGTTCTGGCCAACTTGGCGATCAATATCCATTCTAATTACAGCTACTTTGGCGCTTGCTATACAGGATAAAATGTCCACTAATTTTAGCTGAGCAGCAAAAATGTGACAGAGAAAACGGCGAAAAAAATGGGCAAAGTGGGCGGGTGGGCACTTTTGGGGAGAATCTACAAGACAAACCTGGGAAAACAACTCGTTAAAAGTCCTCGACAAGCTTGCACTGGCCGGGAAACTTTCGGCAAAGTGATTAAGGTGCAACTTGGCCAAAATGTTGTCTTTCCCTTTCTGCCAATAGTTTCTGGTTACTTAATTACAGGGGCGACTTTTGGGAAAAAAGGGTGAGCTACTTTGCTAATGTTTAAGTTGAGCGCACGACAAGCTAAACTATTTCAATGCAGCTAATTTACACGAATTGTTGCGTGAGGTTGATATACTAACTAACTCGTATATACATGTGTTATTTACAGCCATTTCTAGACATTCGAAACTCATGCTTCACACATACAAACACCAACACAAACACGGAGACAAGCGGAAGAAGAAAATGATGGGCGGAAGTTGAAAAAGTGATGTTTGAGCAAAAACAACTACGAAACGTGATGAAGAAGCCAAGTAAAAAATGAAGCAAACAACAAAAATAGTTTTGCATAGTGGGAAAAGAAGAAGAAAACAGGAGAAACGGCAAGGCCAGGCTAGGTGTGGTCATTAGGGTGGACCTTAGTTAGCAAATTCTTTGTTCTTAAATAGTTATCTTATACAAGATTAAAGATTTCTGTGTAAGAAACATATTTACAAAAAGCCAGTAAACAATATTTTTTCTTTTTGAGATAAATATAATGAATTAAAATAAGCTTAATGTCAGTACAATTCAACTTTATCTTCACTGTGCATTATCTTTGAATTGAAATTATGTATAATGTTATGTCTTAAATTTTTTTGATAAATATTTTCATTGATATTGAAATGTTATTTGATTTTTATGACCTTTACTCAGGCTGTTTAAAATGAAACGTGTACACAAAAATTAATTGCTGTGCATCAAATATTTTTACAAAAAAACTTGCGGTATATTGTCTGTGTATTTAAATGGTCCACCCTAGTGTTCATGAATGGATTTCTTATTTGCTCGTGTATGTGAGGAGAAGAAATGCAGAAACGGATTTTGATGGCTGCGGAAATGTGTTTTGACATGGGTAGCGGAGAATGTGAGATACATGGGGGTTTTTAAGGGCAGCAGAAGCTTCAAAATCGGGACAGCGAGAGATAAAAACTGCGAAAGATATAGCTTGGATGGGAAAAGGTCGCAGAATCAGTTTTTTTTCTTTGGTGAGTGATAGAGTTAGGCAAAGAACGTGAGTGAAATATTTGTGTTTTGCTTCATTTTTTTTTTTGTTTTTTCTTAATCCAAAGATGCGGGTTTTGTTGACTTGCAGGTTTGTTACTTTGGTATTTTCTTTGGGGGTATTCGGTATTTCTGGTGTCACACTCACGCACAAATAGTGATGCAAACTCGCCACTGTCTGGAGTTTGCATTGGCGGATGCGATTGCGGATACGAATGCGGATACGGTTGCAAGTGGGTGGTGCCGGTGGTGCCACCACCACTATCGTAACTGGGACTGTGGGGCACACGCACACAAACAGACGGCACTGGTGGTGGTGCGGCTGCGGCGGTTGAGGTTGCATTTATTGTTGCTGTTGTTGTTGATGCTGATAGTAATGTTGATGATGTGAAGGTGGTGCTAATTGTTGTTGTTGTTGTTGTTATTGTTGCTTGTACTGTTGTTGTTGTTATTGTTGGATTTGCTGTTGTCATAGTTGATGATTCAGTATTTTTTTTTTTTTTTTGGTTTTTGTTATTGTTGTACTTAGGCGACATTCACACATTACATTTAACGATCAAACAAGTGTTTATGTGTACTACGGAGTAAAAACTCTTTAAAGATTTTTCCTATGCCCTACACCGATTTCTAAGCCGATTCAATATGGCAATAATAAACTTTCAATTATGAACAGTTATAAATATTATCTTATTTAATCCCCCAGCAAGGTTATTTTTAAAATTTGAAATGCATAATTATATTTTTTTGAGTCTAAGCTAATGCAGAATTAAGTCAGCCATATTGGATTGAAAGAATAATTTTTTCAACTATTTATGGATATGTTTATTATGTTGGTATGTGTAATATTAAAAGTCTAATGTTGTGTGTTTGGGTGTGTGTGTGTGTGTGGGGCTCTAGACATAAGCTAACCTAAAACAATCCCAAGTGAGACCTAATGTCGGAATAAAATTCCTAACCTAATATTTCTAAATTGGAACTAAGTTGTATTTAAAGGACATTGCCTTCAGGATCTAAAAGCGTGTATTCCAACCGCACTCAAGTGGTTTATTAGTGTTCATATATATGTTGTAAAATATAACAAAGCGGTTAGGTCACTCCCTCATAGGAATATTTTAATTAACAAAGTGGAACTCACAAAATGATTAAAGTGAAAAGTTTCACAAAAACACAAGAGAAGAAAAAACGAAATGAAAATCGGGCCAGGCGAATATAATGATTAACGTTAATTCGAGACAGACTCGCTCACAAAACAGACACTTAAAGCGTTTTTCGTTTCATTCAGACAAACCAAACGAACTGAAAACTCGGGGGAAACGACAAAGAAAAACTTTTAACTCAGCCTCAAAAATAAGGATAATCGGATAAATGTTTAAAGAGAGAGAAGGAGAGAGAGAGATAGAGCAAGAACTTGTTGCTAAATAAGGAAAGCTTATAATTCATATATATCATATTTATGTTCGTATGTGAATGGATATATATAGTAGTTTGCTCATTCATTCGCTTGAATTTTGTAATGGTTGAACCTCACACACACACACACGCTCGCACACACGCACACACATACTATATGTGGTTCTATAGCGCGGGTCTACCCACCAGTTGCGATTGCGGGGTGGGGGGAGGCGGACGAGGAGGGTCCTGCCCCGCCCCCCGCGCCACCCGCCTCCTTGCCAGCTGCCGCTGGGTCCGATGTTTGATTTTGATTAACGACAAATGCGGAATTCTCCTCCTTGGTGATGCTCATGTAATAGCACGTGTCATCCTTTTTCATAATGTGCCTGGGTCCCGGATTCAGCAGAATGGTTTCCTCGTAGAATTCCGGCAGCTCCGCCGGACGCACGCCCACCAAAGCCACTCCGTATCTGACAAAAGGGAATGGGCGGGTTTTAACACGAATTCCGACTAAGGAATGGGGATTTCGGGCGGGGCTTCCCCGGATTAAACAACAACACTCACTTGCGATGCGAGTGAAAGCTGGCGTAGGTGAAGCTCTTGCCCTCGTACTCGCCGAAAAATCGACTGTCGCCGAGGACAATGTGGTAGATCTCGTTTCCGGAACACTTGCCGTACAGCCGATGCCACTCCTCCGGACTCTGCTGGCCCTCCCTGTAGTTCGGATACATATTTAATAGAAAACTGTCTTTCGATTCCGCGGTTAGGCTCATGTGAAATGCATGAGTCACGGCCCACTTGGTGACCCAATTAGCATTCGCTGACATCTGATTAACCCCGCTTTTCATGACCCGCGACCACAGCTCACGGAAACTACACTTAAAGGCCGCGTTTAATTGAAACTTTCCGCGAAAACCGCCTTTCCCTTGAACTCGACACGTTTTCTGCGTTAACATAAACACTTACTGACGGCGAATAAAGTTTTTGTTTTTCCCCTTCTTGTCGCAAAATCCTTTTAATTAAAACCGGAATTTTAGATTACATTTCCGGCATGTGAGTGCAGAGCGGGGGAATCAAGTAATCGCTTTGTTGCCGGAAAGCTCATTAATTCTTTATTTACTTTTGCTTTTCTGGCAAGTCCAAAAAACCAAACTATAAATGGACTGTGGAAGTAATTCTCTGGTATATTTGTTTAGTCTATATTTTTAACCATCAAAGCTTCCTTTTGATTTATTTATAAATCCAAGCCAGTTTTTTTTCAAATAACTCTATCGGACAAATAAATATTGCAGAGCAGAAATATATGTATGTACAGTACACACAAATGTTGTGTTGCATATAAGTATGCTATACTTTTTTAACTATTCCTTTTTTTTGACTCTATTATTCATTGGATTTCTATATATATCTATACAAACAACTATAATCTAAATCTTGCTTTATAGTGCTATATTTTTAAAGCACTTCCAACCACTTTTTCTTGTTGCGTTTCTTGGTTAACCAGATTAAACTTTCACCCCGCTTCTGCTGGGAATTCCCCCCAAGGAAACCACATTCAATACGCAAGAAGTACGCTCTGAATCAAGGCTTTTTCATCTAGCTTATGCATTTTACCGCCCACCCAGAGATAAGCTAAATTAGCTGCCCCACAAAAAAATTTATATATATATACGCATTGTATGTATAAAACCCGAGGAAAAACGTCTGAATGAGCAATCAAGCTGTGACCTGACCACCGACTCCGCCGGTGACGTGAGGCATCCAAGCGAACCGATGACGCAAAGCGGATAGAGAATTTTTTGCATGTGTGCCGGTTGGCAGCGAGCGATTCGCAGTTGACCTGCTGGCGAAACCGGCACACGGTGCGTATACGTACTGGCCGCGAGAGGTGTGGAGGAGCAGGGTGACCAGAGTGCTGGCGCCGGGACAGGTGCAGTTGTTGGCCAGAAGGGCGTACTTGAACTCGTCCTCGCAGACCACGTGCTCGGCAAACTTCACATGCAGCTTGTGCTCGGGCCTGCGAAAATGCGAAAATGCGGAAATGCGAAATGGAATTTCCGCAGGATTTACGATTGGTTGCGTCGCACATTTGACATTTGCCAAGAGCAGAAGAATAAAATCGAATTAATTCGGCATGCCAGTAGCCTTTCGTTACTCACCTGAAAATCTGCACATACTGCGGCACATTCGGTGCAAAATCCTTGACGGCCCAGGAACGCAGAATTGTGTGCTCGTCGGCGGCCGTTTTGTCCGCATAATTTCTGGCCGCCAGGATAAAACACGCCTCTGCCTCGTTCATTCGTGCTCTTGCCAAGTCGCCGTCCTTCAGACAGGAGCCCTAAAATAACGTAGGTTTTTCCCCCAGTTAGTTACCAAAGTATAAGCCGGATTATGGGAAATATATTAGTAGCCCACCTGAATGTAGATGACACGCTGCGCCCAAATGGGCACCTGCAGGATCATCCGCATCGTCGTGTCCAGCTCCATTGGGCTGAGCAGCACCACGTAGAAGTCCTGCAGGAGTGGATGGGCGTAGAACTCGTTGAGGAAGTCCATTATGGTATCCGCGTGCAGGGTGGTGGAGCAAACCACCACGTGCTTTTCACTTTGGGCCCGATGTGAGCTGTAGCTGCCCCCCAGTTTTTGACGCTCCATCCACGTGAAGGCCAGCTGCTCAAACTGCGTGGAAAGAGGAAATTTATTAGCCAACTAAGTCATCAATCAACATCTACATCAAAGAAGCATTTATCATTTAAGCATTGACATTGTGCTCTGTAATATAATATGATCTATAATATAAATTACAATACACAACTTTAGGTTCACTTTAAAGTTAAGTACCTTTTTTTAATATTTTCCTAATCAACAACTTCTTAACTGAACCACTTTTCGAGTCAGTTTAACTTCAATAACAAACTGAGCCTTTTTATTCATCCTTTATCTCCTGCAGTACTTGTCAATTTAACTGCCCTAATAAAGCTAAACTGGAGTCTAAGAATAGTGCTCTTAAAGTGTTTTTATGTTCCGCTTTCCTCAGCATATTGTAACTTTGCCGATTGCCACTTTAATGATCTCATAAAACTGAAACCTAAAATGAGAAGACGGCTGTTAAAATACCGAGTAACTTCTATCATCCTTGCATCCTTAAGTTCTCGCATATCACCTTTAAAAAGAGTTTCAATGAAAGTCCTGTAGAGAGGGCTTGTTCGAGCTCCCATCCGCAAAGTAGTCAGTTTTTTTTTTTTTGTAAGGCGCTGATTGATATTTTGCATAAATAGTTATGTTAATATCGTATTATTATCTTATTTTATTAACCCCGTTCTTTTCCAGCTACATTATTCTCTTTGCCATAAAAACAATAAATAATATTGAAATTAAAACTTACATTAATACACTGAAAGAAATAAAATAAAAATAAAATATTATCGATTAGGGAAAAATTATTATAGACTTTGTATACTTAAAACTTAAATAAATAAGCAATAATGTTTGCCTTGGTTAGAATATAAAATAAAAATAAGAAGCATTAATTTTGGCCTACAATTAAAAAAATAAAAACAGGATTAATATGAAATTATTTTATTTTTTGCCTGAATTAGTTTAATTTTTTTGTCTTGTCGATGAAGTATGGGACCAATAAGATCAAGGTAAAGTGGGCACTTCGCAACTTTTGCGTAGTGAAAGGAATGATGTAATTTTTTTTTTTGCATATTCTTTCCCTTTTTAAGCCTTCCTCGGTTGCTATACCTTTTTTTTTTTTTAAATAAAGTACGCGAATTTAGTTATTTTTGCCTAGCATTTGAGCAATAAACGTTGCGGTTTTTTTTTTCTGTTAACCCACCCCAAGCTGACCTGACTAAATAAATTAAACGCCGAGGATACCGCGTGCTCCGCTTATACGTTTTTTTTTTTTATTACCATCAGCTCATTCTCCAATAGATAGTTACATGCTACACTCAATTATTCAGTCTTTTATTTCTTGGTCCGAAAAAATATATATTTTCCCTTTAAAGTTTATTGAAAACCTCTTACGGGATTATTCGATTCCAGAGATTGAATATGTTCAATTAAATTTAAGTGCCGGCACCTTTCCTGCGTTTTTGCAACATTTTGGTCAAACGCGCTTGCGACTTTTTATTTTTATTGGAGGGCGGTGCCCAGAAGCTCATAAATTCTGCAGCATATTGACATGCACTTGGAACTTTTAGTGCTCGCAGAACAAAAATCCATTCCACGCCGAAAACTACGCTAGAAAAAAAGGTAGAAAAACTGTTTTGATGGATGCTCTTGTTGTTTGCTGTTTGGCCAAGTGACCAATGGCCAGTCATATTTTCATACTCTTTCGATAGACTGTCTATGAAACCTATTTAAACTTACTTTAATAAGCTTTTATATCTACTTTCATCAATTAATTTATTTGTTAAAAAGCTTTTATTCCCTTTTTATTTCCTTCCTTCCTAATACAGCGAATATCCTAAATAATAACGTAACCTTTTCTTTTATTTAGTATATATCCTTTTCACTTTGAAAGGGTGTTCTTTCCTCGTGTTTCCGGTTTTCTGATTCCCTTCTTGCCCGCATTTCTCCATGGAATCTCTACTCCTGTTTCTGCTGCTTGTTCAGCGTTTGTTTTTGTTGATAAAACAATTGTTTGCAAATTGTTGAACATGGCAGTCAGTCAGTCAGTCAGTCAGTCCGTCAGTGGGTGAGTCGAGAAATGGGATGGGTCACGGACAGACAGCCAGCCAGCCGGGCAAATGGTGAGCAATTTCCATCGACAGCCTCCCATTCCGGTTTCCCTATTTATTAATATCGATCGATGACCAAAGTCACCCGCCCTCGCTCAAAATGCAGATGATGAATGGGGATAAGGTTCGTCCGGCTTATGGAGCATAAATATTTGATGTGGCTTTTTTGCCCGGCCTTAAGATGGCTTCTAAGCAGAACTATTCGGCAGTGGATAATGACCCTCCATTCCTCGTTTTGTCGTTTAACTCACCTGCGTGGGCAGCACAATGAGGGCGACACAAATCATGATGACCATATAGAGCTGCGATGGCCAAATGTCCGGCACCAAGTCACCGTATCCCACCGTGGAGAAGGTCACAACCACATAGTAAGTGCTCTGAAAGAGGTTCAAATGCCGATGACCAGCGCGCTGGAAGTGCTGGATGCCACAAACGCTGGAAGTAAATAAAAGATATATAATTTGATTTAATAATTTTTGGTAGGTAGTAGTCAGAATTACCTTGTGAAAACTAGACAGATTAATGTGGCTGATAAGATGGTCAACTGCTGGGAAAGCGCCGACTGTGACTTTTGCATTGCTCGATGGAGGTCATTCTAAAGAATACAGAATATTAGATAATATCTAATATAAATATATGTATATATATATTCAACTTACAAACATATTCTCCAGCGATCGCTTGGCCAGCCAGCAGTTGAGGAAAATGGGAATAAAAAGATTCCGCAGCGGAGGATGAACAATCTAAAAGGATTAACTTTAATGATAAATCCGTTTAAGGGACTTCAACTGAAACTCACCGTAAGTGCAAAGGGTATTGTCGTTACTAATTCTAGTATAAAGTGAAATGAGAGTATCTGCTGCCAGATGTTGCCCTTGAATAAAAATATATTATTTAAAACCTTATTATTATTTATTATAAAGTTGGTTAGCATACCTTATAGCCTAGATATGTGAGAACCAAGGATTGCGTTAGCGACACCATGGCTAGAAGAAGCTGAAGGACCCAGAGCACAGTCGGTCGATTCACCCAGAGAATGGCGTCCCAGTTGATGATGGGGTTCTCCTGGAACGCCTCCTCCGTTAGCTTGCCCGAGATGATGAACTCCGTCTTATTGCCCACTTCGCAGCCATAGCTATAGGATGGCCAAGAGATATATTCAATCAATCAACTGACTGTTTTCCCTTTTATCTGCACTCACCATGTAATAAATGTTGGATCGTTATCCAATATCACACGTATTATGTAGAGAACACACGACAGTAACTTAAGGAATAAATCGGCGATTCGTATGCGCAGGCCTTTTTATTTATTTATTTTTTTTTGGTTTGATAAGGGAATATAGCAATGGCAAATGCGTTAGAATTTGGGTCAGTTGAGTGAATTATACCGTCTACGAATGTTTGTCGAGTGGGCTTTCCCCTTACTTTCCTCGAATGGAAAACAAACTCCCCTCAATCGAGACCTGTTTACCTGTTCAATTATTTCTCATCCAAGTCAATATTTACCCAAGATTATCGAATTCGCTTTTGTAATGTCATTCGCTTGTTCGTCTGTATGTCTGTGTGTGTGCGTCTGCATGTTTCTGTGTTTGTGTTAGTGTCCTCTGGCGTTTGTCTATGTGATTGGGCTTGTATTCTGCCAGGATACATCCATACTCAAGTGTCCCCTTCAGCCCGCCACTAATCAAATTCAATTAAATACTACCTTGTTGATTGTTGTAATTAAGTCGAATATTTTCGTTAATTCAAAGAAAGTACTTACTTGAACGCTGATTCTTAATGAAATAGAGTTGCAGTCTTTCTTTGAATGTGTTTTCGTTCACATAGTACTCCACACGAACTCTGCAAAGAAAGGATCGAAACGGAGCACTGATGATTGAGCTTCTAAATTGAATTGTCGAACAAAGCCTTTGGCAGGACCTTCCTTGTTCTTGTTCTTCTTCTTGTTCTCTAGAACACCCTTATCCCCGGCAATCGAATTTCCCCGCATTCACGAGGCGCCACTCGCTGCTCTTGACAATTGATGCGCTTACTTATCACATTAAGTGACGCAGCTGGCTGCAGTGTTCCTCATGCCCCAATACCTTACACTTGGCGAAAAATTGCAGGTAATTTTGAAAAGAAAGTACAATTACATTGCATTTTGCTAAGTATAAACACAAGTTATCTTTAAAGGTCTTTCAATACATTACTGCAAGTATTATATATTTTGAAGGTAACTGAATACATATATAACACAAGGCCTCAAAATGTAAGTATATAAATATTGGCCTAAGAAATAAAAGAGTTCAGTTGTGATTCAACAGTAAATTAAATTTAAGTTTAAGTTACAAATATTTTAGAAGCTGAAGACTGAAGTTTAATTACAGGAAACATTTAAGCCAACATACACTGCCCCGCAACTGAATAGGTTCATGATCTCAGAGGAAGTAATTTGTCTATAACTTCTAAACCAGTGTACCGATTTCCAAAATTTTTTTTTCTTTAACTCTTGAATCATTTTATAATAAAATGCTGAAGAAGGTTTTTCAAAAACATATTATTTATTCCTTATTTTATTTATTCTTCTGAAAGGTTAACAAAATGCATGATTTTTTTTCGGTCATCTGAATAGGTTCAACCTAAAACAATTAAAATTATTTAAGTAACTAAGGATAATATTCATATTTTTTGAACTTAGCTGATACTTATGAACATTTTTAAAGTACATTTTACTAATTTTAATAAAAAGTGAACCCTCCGTTGTCCGATATAACATCATATACACGGCCGGGAAGCGAGCTATACGAATTGTGCAGTATTTGCAGTGAAATGGGTGTCCAGGCTATTTTAATTGCCTTAACTAAAGTTTTTTTGCAATAAAATTACCTGCCTCCTGCATATATCTTGCGCGATAGCAACCCCCATACGATTTCGATTATATTAAGGTCAGGTGAATATGGGGGCCATTCAAGTAAATCCACATTTTGAGCCTTAATCCACTCTTTTACCACCCTAGCTGTATGATGGGAGCGTTATCGTACTGGTAAGACCATTTGATAAAGTGAAAAGTACTTAAATAATCAGGAAACGCAGCCTTTATGATAAATTTGTAGGTTTCCGCGCTCGTTTTGCAAGTAACAAATTAAAGGTCGCAAGTGCCAAAGACTGATACCGACCCCCACACCATTACCCCACCCTCACAGCTATGACAACGGCTAAGGAAATGCTCTTCCTTTCGAAGATCGTGATAATAATAGTTGTAGCTATTGATTTACGCTTCTAAATTAAATTGATTTAGGTGTGGGAGTCGGTATCAGTCTTTGGCACTTGCGACCTTTAATTTGTTACTTGCAAAACGAGCGCGGAAACCTACAAATCTATCATAAAGGCTGCGTTTCCTGATTATTTAAGTACTTTTCACTTTATCAAATGGTCTTACCAGTACGATAACGCCCCCATCATACAGCTAGGGTGGTAAAAGAGTGGATTAAGGCTCAAAATGTGGACTTACTTGAACGGCCCACATATTCACCTGACCTTAATATAATCGAAATCGTATGGGGGTTGCTATCGCGCAAGATATATGAAGGAGGCAGGTAATTTTATTGCAAAAAAACTTTAGTTAAGGCAATTAAAATAGCCTGGACAACAATTTCACTGCAAATACTGCACAATTCGTATAGCTCGCTTCCCGGTCGTGTATATGATGTTATATCGGACAACGGAGGGTTCACTTTTTATTAAAATTAGTAAAATGTACTTTAAAAATGTTCATAAGTATCAGCTAAGTTCAAAAAATATGAATATTATCCTTAGTTACTTAAATAATTTTAATTGTTTTAGGTTGAACCTATTCAGATGACCGAAAAAAAAATCATGCATTTTGTTAACCTTTCAGAAGAATAAATAAAATAAGGAATAAATAATATGTTTTTGAAAAACCTTCTTCAGCATTTTATTATAAAATGATTCAAGAGTTAAAGAAAAAAAAATTTTGGAAATCGGTACACTGGTTTAGAAATTATAGACAAATTACTTCCTCTGAGATCATGAACCTATTCAGTTGCGGGGCAGTGTACAATATCTATTCTGTTGATACCAAATATATTCAATATATAACAATTTAAAATATTGCCTTTTAGAATACATCTAACCAACTCTGTTACGATGAACAACAAACATTTTAAAATTTCAGGCATTACTTAAAATATGATTATAGAAATACTGTTGATATGAACAAATAATATAAACAGTAAATTTTTATGACATACTCAAATCAATATTTTATTTCTGAAAAAGCCATTTCTCATTGTGTAACACCGTAGTTAGTGCGTGCAGCTAAGTATCTCAAAAGTACTAAAGAGGTACGGTGAAAAAGAGTGAAAAGAAAGGAGCTGGCACACACGTGACTTTCTTGCTCACCCGTACCCCAGCCTTTTCCCCCCTTTTGTTGCCCAAGGACGAAGGGCTTTTCCCTGTGAAAATGCGCCGTGAATGGGTTTCCATCAATGACTGCCTGTCTGTCTGTCTGGGCCCGCGGCAAACGCATTGATGTTATACCGAATTAGATCAAAGGAAAGCCCTTTTGCCGACAACTTGTTGTACCAGTTGTAAGTAATAAACTTTTGTGTGCCATAGGGTACACCCTCTTCGACTCTTTAAGCCTCTTTCAGAACTTCATTGTAATCTCCATATTTGAAAACCCTTGACTGCAGCTGCAACACTGCTGCCTTAAGTGTATAACGAGTTTTAACCCATCGCGCACACATGGCGTATGAGTAACACAAAATGTGGAACTTATTCTTTTCCGACAATTGCTGGTGGCTCCACATATATACACATTTTTATTGGGCATTGAGGCGTCTCTCAGTCTGAATATTCAGAGCCATAAGTGTTGAGCAAACATTTTTGTGGGATCTCCTTGCACTTGACTGCACAGAGACAGTTGAAAAATCCTCTTCTCGGGGTCGAAGTAATTAAAAGAGTGGCTTTAAGCCCGGACACAAAGGAAGATTCAATTAACTGCTAGCCACCTTCTTTGCGACCTTTGTCCTGGCAGCTTTCTGTCGCAGCTCATTTGGGGATATTTCGGTTGAATATTCACGCCAAGGTTAATGCACCGGAGAGTCGGGGGAAATGGAGAACCGAGATGGGTAGAACAAACTGTAAGAATAGTTCAAGTGACTCCCGGCAGAAGTGTTGACTCACAAATGGCACCTTGGGGCCCTGTCGAGGGCCAAGGACGATGACTGCCAGTGCGAGTGCGAGTGCGTGGCGAAATTAACGAGCTTGGCCCAAACCATACAAACCATCTACAAAGCGAACCATCCAGCAGACCATCTACAACACACACTGGCAAGTGACCAATCAGTTATGACCCGGCCAGAAGCTCCAACGTGCCACTGCATACAATCAACTCTGACCTGCCCCCCAAGGATGTTTGGCACTTCTGTGCGGTTTTTGTGGCGGCGGGTTCATTCCACCCTCGCTCTCTCTTTTTCCGGCCATTGAACGCGGCACAATCGCTGGCCAGATGGCCGTAAGTTCTGGCCAAGAAGGGGTCACCAATCACTTGCCACTTGTTAGCCAAAATACTGCGCTTTAAGTCTTTAGTTTCGCGCAGCAAGGAGCTTTGCATATTTCAAATAAAATACGCATTTCCATTTATCCCAGCTGAACTGTAATCAAAACTGCAAAATATTTGCATTGATTTTGATTGCAAATGTTTTCACAAAGAAAAATAATTGAAAAAATGCCGGCGGGGTGGCAAAAAGCTGCTGAAAATCTCACTTTGAAAGCGAAAGCAGCGTGTTAGCCACTGAATTGCAAATGGCAAACATCTCAGGTCAGAAAATTAAGAATTATTTAAATCACTATTCTAAAATCCACATTATTTTCTTAACACCTAAAGTCAATTCAATTCGTCATGAGAAATTAAAACATTAAATTTAATAAAACACTTTAATATGAATATTTACAAATTATTCTAAAAGGTACCTTTTTTACTTGCAATAAATTATGGGGTTTATATGGTTCAATTACTATAAAATAGATAAGAGTAATGGAGGTGCTTATTTGTTCAACACATATGCTTTATATCTGCTTGACTTGTCTATAAACTACATTCTTTACTTTTATCTTCCCAAGTTTAAATAATACTCTTTAAATGCTTGCATATATTTTCGGGTGAACTTTTTAGACTCGAATAATTGGTTTTACACCCGCAGGATCCCGTATTTTCCTATGTGAAGTTTGTGGGTGAACCCGCAAAGTTATGAACTTTTAAAGTAACCCCCAACTTTGGCTTAAATTGATTCCTTTCTTCTGCGCATCCAGGACTCCTTGCTCCTGGCTGGAAGGACTAGCAGGACCAAGCTGAGCCGGGGACAAATTGCACGTTAATGTGTTTTTGTTGTGCCATCATTTGATTATCCACAGATATTGAGTTTAAAGCTGGCTAAAATGGGCAAATGGGCAAATGGGCAGCCCGCGGCAGGATGTGCTTAGATTGTTTTACCTTTATTGATTTTTGATTTGGCGCTCTTTTAAAGAAAATTTGATTTAATTTCGTGTGCGTGGTGGGCTCGGGTTTCTGAGCTTCGCTGCTGGGAGATTTGATTACAACTCCTTGATGAAATTGCGCCTAGAAAAGGAAGAATGGCGAAGGCGAAGCCGGGCAAATCAAAGGCCACAAAGGAGCTGTGGCAGAATGCCTAACAAAACACCGGGCTTTTCTTTTTTTTTTTTGGCCTGGCCAACACAAAGGATTGGCGGACAAAGGACCTCGTTCGAGCCCATGCGTGGTTTCAGGTAACTACAAATTGCATCCTTGCTTCCCAAGGACCAAAAAACCAAAACAC